CAACCGTACTAACGCATTCGTGCACAGAGTCCACACAACCATACAAACCCATTCGTGAATGGTGTGTGTAAACAAGTACCTCAGATGAACCAGGCTGGCGGCAACTGCACTCTGGTAATTCCCAAGATGGAGACCGTCCAGAGACATGAACCAACCACAGGCTCCTTCCCCGTAAGGTAATAAACAACGTCTGGAGATAATGTAGAGAGCCAAGGGGAGCTGTGGGAAAATGTGGCAAGGTGCTCCTCTCCTCTCCTTTGTTCCTCAGCTGCAGAAAGCCCTCCTCTGGGGGGTTGAGAGAGCACGGGAGAGAGAGGCTGGAGAAATGTGGTGGAAATGACGTCCTTGTGAAGACAGGAAAGAGCTGGACCGCGTGGAAAGGCGGATCTGGCAACTCTCTTTGTAATATAACCCTTATATAAGGTCACCAGTGTCATGTGTGTCTTCTGGCACTGGATTTTTTTTTTTTTTTGAGATATATACAAGAGTTATTACATTCTTGTACAGCCACTAGTACGCGTAGCGTTTCGGGCAAGTCCTTAATCCTATGGTCCCTGGAATACGATCCCCTGCCGCGAAGAATCGTTTTTTCATCCAAGTACACATTTTACTGTTGCGTTAAACAGAGGCTACAGTTAAGGAATTGCGCCCAGTAAATCCTCCCCGGCCAGGATACGAACCCATGACATAGCGCTCGCGGAACGCCAGGCGAGTGTCTTACCACTACACCACGGAGACTTCTGAAACTGATATAACTGCTGAGACTGATATAACCCTTATATAAGGTCACCAGTGTCACGTGTGTCTTCTGGTACTGGAATTCAACAGATTCTCAATTCGGAATTTGAGAAAATTCTAAATTGTGGAGATCTTGGTCACAAAAGTTGATTATGATTCACAATCTGGCGTTAATCAGAGTTTAGTTAGTTTTTATCTAGTGAAATAAAGGTGAAACCAGTAAATGTGGTTGTGAAGAGTCGTGTGCATAGTCTTCCATTGTCATCCCAAGAAGTTTGAGATTAAAATATAAATTTTGTCATGAAGCAGCTGATGCATGGAGCCACAAAATAGCGCTGCTGTTACAGAAAACGGATCTTCTTCGGCTCTGAATACGGATAGCTTTAGAAATGCATACAGTACGGATCTTAATAATAATCTTAATTACTATAGCCCGTGCTACTTGGAACTTTTGTTCAGAGTAGCTGAATCTAAAACAACAACGTCCTCGCATACAAAGATCTAAGCTTGTTAATCCAGCCGCCAAACCTCCTGTTCATTAATGAAAAACAGTTTACACGACTTGCAACTGATAACGTCCGACGCTTCCGAACGAAGTGCTTCGCTCACATCCTCTGTTCGAACCACAATTCTATAAATGCTTCACCCACGTACTTCAAATTCAAGTAATCGCCAACAGAACCTAGACACCCAACTTTACATACGCCTAACTATACATAGAATTGTTATGTATGTTTTAGATTTGGCTACTCAGAACGAAATATCCATGTATAAATAGTGGTTATAAATAGGAGCTGCCTCGTATGGGACAATAGGCCTTCTGCAGTTACCTTGTTCTTATGTAGTACGGGCTATAATGAGCCCGTAATTGAGTTCGGTTATTCGCGATAACATTGTTACTGTGATATTTGGGTCAAAGTTTTAAATGGAGGTGTGGTTTCCTCTTCTCGCAATTCTTTTCCTCTTCTGTTTTAGCGCCCTGGTTTTAGCCTTGTCTTGTTTTAATAACATTATCTTGGTGGCGGATATAGATGCCCAGTGTTCACTAGTGCGTCCCATTCTTCAACTGCTTTCCTAATCATTGTAGTCGCTGTGGATTTTACATTTAATGCAGTTTGCTGTTGTTGGAATAATGTTGAGTTTGATGCGCAGGGCTTCAGTAGCTTCACATTCCAGTAAGTAGTGCAATAGTGGTGCTTCTGCTTCTGTTCCACAGATGACACTCTTTTTAACTATTGGGTTTTACCTCCCAGCAGCACTTGTAACAAAGTCTGTGTATGGCTACTGCAATGTCTCTGGATATCTTTTTGCCAGGCTTGAAAGAGGTCGAACCTCTTAACTTTTAAAGTACAGCTAGAAAAGATCAGGGCAAATAGAGGGACCTTGGACAACTGCCGGCATCCTGTCCTCGTCGAAGCCACTAGTGCTCTCAGGTTAGCTAGGTCGTATACTGACCCACAAAGGTGCGCTCAAAAAACTCGCGTAATTAATGATAATGCAAGGTCATTATTATTATTGTTAAGTGGGAAAACTTTCCCTTTGGTGCTATACATATACTGCAACAAAACCTAACCCCCCACTAACACATCCACTGTATTTCACTCGTGTCAAGAACCACCATTACACACATTCATCCATCATACATTACCATCACCATATCTTTAGGGAAGACTCGTGATATCCCGCCAAGACTGGAAGAGCCCAAAGTAGCCACTTTTGTCAGGGGTAACGAGATTTTAATAGGCTGCCCTCCCTCCCAGCCAGCGAATAGATTGTAGCTGGCAGTCGTTCCTCCCTCCCGCTCTATCTCACTCCACCACTTCATTTACTCGGCGAGGGAGATTGCGTGCTTTAATGGCCGGCAGAGCCGTTTGAGAAGCTTGGGGGACCCGTTATTTTGACCACAGGATAGTAGATAGTGTGTTCCATACACTAAAGATAAGCCCTGTGATTATGTTGTCACAGTATTGTAGCTTCCAGTTTGACTTCTTTTGAACGCATTTAACAGATACATGTAAACTCCATTCCGAAGGTTCGATGAATTGACCACAGCACCAATGACCTGATTGATTGATGAAGATTAAGCCACCCAAGAGGTAGCATGGGCATGAATAGCCCGTAAGTGGTAGATTTTTGGGGGTGAATGTGATCTTTGGTCGTGAAAGGATATACTGCGTGCTGAGCTCGCATTTAAATCGTCAGTCCTTACTATGTGGCTGCTACCGCGGGGGAGGACACTGCTTGACAGTACTGATGATGGTGTCCAGCTGATGGACACCTTTTTTGACCAGAAGAGTGGCAGTGTTGATGGCTTCAGACTGGTTACTGCAAGAGGTCACCAATGACCTCGTTGTTACTGCATCATATAAATTAAGAATAAACCCCACTACACTATATTTACGCCTTGAAGAAACACAAATGTTTAATAATTAGTGTGTGTACACCTGCCTATTTGTAGATGCCTATTCCCTTTTCACCTGCTGCCCCTAACATTGAAGAAGTTTCTTGCTGTTTATTTCCACCGAATAAATGTGTTAGATTCGCGACGAAGTGTCCTTTCAGCCGTCAGGGGAGCCTGATGGCTGAGCATTAACTTAACCTAGTCTAGTCTAATGTAACCTAGTCTAGTGTTTATATGAACTAATTCTATCTTTCGGTGTAAATAGTTGTATATTATACCGTGAAACAGAATCTCCTTAATAAAAACCTATATGTTCGTCTATAATACATCACATGACCTGAAGGATTCCAGCTTGACATATCGCAGTGACCATCGTTGCCAGCGACAGAGCCGCCTTTGTCATGATAAACACCCGCTAGTCTCTCCCACTTTTTCAGGCTCGACAATGGTCATAGTTGGATCAATACTTCGCCTGCCGCTAGATTGTATTAAAAAGGGTTTAGGTTTGTGGTTACTCTTTCTTTGTCTCGTATCGCAAGAAATTGGGACATTATATTAAATGTTGCGCATTATAATATTTTTGTATTTTTAGTTGTATTTTATGTTTTCTACGTTTTTTGTGTGTGTGTGTTTTCTTAAGAACAGTCTTGGAACACAAGTTATGTAGTAAAGGAAAGTGAAAGGGGATTATTATGAGAACATACAGAATAAATGCCATGGTACTCTTGAAGCATTTGCTGCTCAAATTTATTGGGGGAACTCATATACTACTTGTACCCCTTCACCCTCTCCTGTGCCGTTAACCCTCTCCTGTACCGCTAACCCTCTCCTGTACCGCCCAGTACTCTACGGGCTCACCATAGCCGTGCTGCTTAGAACTTTTTGTTCCAGGTAGCGAATTTTTAACGCCGCCCAGTATAATAACCACTCGGCCAAACTGACTGTACAAAAGTATTGCAAGTTTCTGACCCGTAACCCAATACCCAACAATTCTCGTGACCATTTTGGGCAAATAACTTCATCATGCTTGGGCCGCATGAGTAACATTTATGCATACGCACAAATGTTAGATACACGAAGTCAGGCTACGATGAAACTTTCATATTCAATATACCTATTTTAAATATTTAGGACCTATTAACTGCCAGCACAATAATTTTTTCCATATCTACACATATATATTAATGCCATAGGAAGTTGAGGGTAAATTTGAACTCTGTGTACTGTCACACAAAGATCACACTAACGTGATGCATCAAATGAACAAATCCACAAGGGCCGTGACGAGGATTCGAACCTGCGTCCGGGAGCATCCCAGACACTGCCTTAATCGACTGAGCTACGACAGGGTAACACTTATGCATACGCTGTGTACTGTGTGTACTTTGTGAACAAGTCTTGTTAATTCTCGTGGTCGGGGACAAGAAGCCTATACTTAGGTTTCTCGACGTCCCCTTTGGTCAACTACTGGCCACCCCCAGGATGCAACCAACAACTGCTGCCTAACTCCCAGGTGCTTTACTGGTAGGTAAAGAAAGGCATCGGGTGAAATGAAATGAGCACAACCGTTTCTGTCTTGCCAGGGGATTGCACCCGCGTCCCTGGACTGTGAGCTAAGTACGTAGTCCACTAGCTGTGCTACAGGTCTGGTGTTGCAGAGGTTCTTGAAGCTCTGGGCAGGGTAACCTATGGTCAGGACGTGTTGTTGCAGCTTTATTAATACTTTTTGTTCTGATAATGATAAATCTTGCCAATTGAGAGGGGAACTGTAAGAGAATGTGTAGAAGTATATATTTTAATATTAGACCAACATGCAACGTTACACAAGAGCTAACATATGGTGGTTTCTTTGCTTGTCAAGTTTTCAGCTGTAACGAGGTGGTGGAGGCGTGGCCCGGGGAGGAGGCCGGGGAGTGGCTGGCCATGAACGGTTCCCTGGTCAGTCCCAACTTTCCCAAGCCTTACCCTGCTCGCCTGCAGTGTCGCGTCCACCTGAAGGCGCCCCACGGATACCGCGTCCAACTCCTCTTCACCCACTTCCTCCTCTTCCATCCACTCAATCTCTCCAACCGCAAGTGAGTGTCTTTGTGTGTGTGTGTGTGGAAGGGGGGGAAGTTTAGCTCCTGGACACCACTTGAGTCTTTGACCCCTCAACGAGGGAGGAGAGCATTGGTAACCCGGCCCTTCTCCCATGTATCCTATACATAGGTGAAAGTACAGTACTATGAAAAGTAGCGGCTTGAAGATGAACGTTTTCTGTGCAAAAGTTGATTGTTCTGTGGATTGGTTCGGTTCGCAAGTCTCTAGTTAGGATAACATTCATATTTTGTATGTTAGTATATTCATTTTAGTTAAAACCAAGGAGGTCTAAGTATAATTTTGTGTTCCCTGGTCAAAAATACCATGAGTTCCACTCATTTAGTTCAAGGTACTGACTAGTGAACACGTGTCTGCTATAATATATTAATTTTAGTTAAGTGTGTTCTGCCTTAAGGAAAAATACTTTACTACTAGTTTGGTGTATGTAACTCTCGTCTCCTGCCTGCGTGGAGTCAGAGAGGTAAGGTAAGATAGGTGGTAAAGTATTGTTGTACTTAGGGGAGGGGGGGGATAGCGTTAATAAATTAAGGTAACATTTCAGCTGGAGTTTCGATCACCAGTCTTGCATTGGATTAGGTGATCTACTCTAGACGTTTTTTTTTTTTTAGTTTAGTTCATTTATTATGCACCCCATACCCATCTTGTGGGCGGTAGTGGAAAGGGTTACAGAGGCACATAATGGGCTCAGGGACTGAACCCCACAATTCATTTAGACGACAGACCATATTTATATTTTTAGTTGCTGGGAATTGTTTCCCTGGAGGCTGGGCCTTTCCTAGCCCCATTAGGGCTAGGAAAAATGAGAAAATCCCTCTCCATCCCATAACAATGTTAAAAGTTAATATTAAAATCATAATAACAGTTGTTTAAATTTTAAAGTTTTCTTTTATTAATTTATCTACTTGGTAACATTTCCCTCTGGTTGCAGTTTTCCCCATTTTCAAAGATACGGTCCGTGTACAACTGTACACTACCCCCTATGTCCGTCCCCAGCTGTGACGCCATGGACTCCGTCACTATCACTGACGACTCCCAACACAAGCTGGGCACCTTCTGCGGGCCCGGCCTCCCTTCCCCCATCATGTCGTCGGGTCCCCACCTCACCCTCGTCTTCAGGAGCTACACCTCTGGCCCAAACGTTACAGGCTACAGAGCCGTATACACCTTCCTTAAAAGTAATTAAGATATACATCTTTATCAAGGATATATTGTAAGGTATGCAAGAAGGGGAGAGGGAGGTAGACCCTGGCACCCCCGGATACTTGTGTGCGTGTGTGCGTGTGTGCTCACCTAGTTGTGCTTGCGGGGGTTGAGCTCTTTGGTCCCGCCTCTCAACCGTCAATCAACTGGTGTACAGATTCCTGAGCCTACTGGGCTCAATCATATCTAGATTTGATGCTGTGTATGGAGTCTACCACTTCACTGCCCAATGCATTCCATCTCTTAACTACCGACACTGAAAAAGTTCTTTCTAACATCCCTGTGACTCATTTGGGTACTCAGTTTCCACCTGTGTCCCCTTGTTCGCGTTCCACTCATATTAATTTAAACAGTTTATCCTTATCTACCCTGTCAATTCCTTTCAGAATTTTGTAGGTAGTGATCATGTCTTCCCTGTGCGTGTGCTCACCTAGTTGTGCTTGCGGGGGTTGAGCTTTGGCTTTTTGGTCCTGCCTCTAAACTGTCAGTCAACTGGCGTACAGATTCTGGAACCTATTTGGTTCTATCAAATCTACATTTGAAACTGTGCATGTAGTTGGCCTCCACTACATCACCTCCGAGAGCATTCCATTTGTCAACTACACTGACACTAACAAAAAATTTTCTAATAGCTCTATGGTTCATTTAGGCACTAAATCCCCCCCCCCCCGTGTCCCCTAGTGCGTGTATGCCCTTTGTGTTAAATAATCTATCTACCCTATCAGTTCCCTTGAAAATCTTGTATTGGTGATTGTCCCCCCCCCGAACTCTTGTCTTCCAGCGACGTGAGGTTTAATTATCTCTCTTGCTTTACTCTCCTCATACCCCCTCAGTTCGGGGACTAGTCTGGTGGCAAACCTTTGAACCTTCTCCAGTTTAGTTTTATGCTTCGTGAGATATGGATATATACAAGATTTATTCCTTAAATGGGAGTTATATTTTTGTATATTCACAGATTACAAATTTCATGATAATTTAATTCATTGTGTATGTATATTTGGAGAGAATTGTGTTTTCCAAGAATATTATACGAATCTCTGTTAATCGCGGATCATGATATTACTGGAAAAGTGTGTGTTCAGTTAATTTAGTTTTTTCTTTTAAAAACTTGCCTACAATCTTTGTGATTAAGTTTTTGTGATTTTTTAAATATTTATTTTAATAATTGTCTAGTGTATTAATATTTTTTTAAAAGGGATAATTTCTTTTAATTTGTGACAGATTTCGGGATGAAGACTGGCCGCCAGCTGGACTCCCAGCCATGTGTCTTCGAGTACAACTCGACTTGCTATCCCAGAGGCGAGTTCCACAGCCCCAACCCAGGAGGTACCATATTATATTGGCCATCTACCTCTTGTGTGTTATCCCTCTGCTGCACACGAGGTATTTGTTTGCACCCACCTGTCTTACACATGTCTTTTTGGAAATACTGTATATACAATGCATTATAATCTAGAAAAGAATGAAGAAAAAGCAGTTGGAAAAAAACTTATTTCAGGAGAGGACACTGTTGGGAAAATTTGGCAAGTCCTTGAATTAATTTGATAGGAAAGACGTGTTGTTAGGCATAGAAGTAAATGAGATGTATGATGAAGGCACAAAAAGGTTTATACCAAAACAGAAATGCAGAACTAGAAAACAGGATTGGTTCAACAGAAATTGTGAGGGCCAAAGAACAAACAACAAAATGAAATCAATATAGGAAGAGGCCAAGCCCTCAAACATACCAGCAATACAAAGAAACAAGAAACATCTACACGGCAGTGAGGAGAAGGGAAGGAAACTATCATGTGAAAGTGCCAAGCACTGGAAAGGGGTCAGGATAAGGTTTTGGGATGGGACGGGGGGAGGAAAGGAATAGTACCCAACCACTTGGACGGTTGGAGCTTGAACGCCGATCTGCATGAAGCGAGACAGTCGCCCTACCGTCCACCCCAAGTGGTTGAACAAGGGAGAAGAGAAGCAAAATATATTTTGAGAAAGAGATGGCTGACAAATGTAAAACAGAACCAGGCCTATTCTGTAAATTCATTAAAAGCAAAGTACAGATAAAGGATAAAGTTCAGGTTGAAACAGATTCATGGAGAATAAAAGGGAAATGGGTGAAACACTAAATGAACAGTTCCAGTGTGGGCGTGTGTGTGCATACATGCACAAAATGTAGTTTTCAGAGAACGGGACACGCTGCACATTTCAGAAAATAATAGCACACGTACAGGTGTCTTGAGATGAAGCGGAAAAAATTGTCAACCAAGTACCGTAGGAACAAATCGGTTGGCCCAGACGGAGTCTTGCCTAGGATTCTGAGAGAATGCATATCTGAGCTCAGCACTTCAATTGATTTTTCAGTCATCTTTGTGTACAGGAATCTTGGCAGATATATGGAAAAAGGCTAACATACAGGTAGGTCCAATTTACAAAAATGGCTGCAGAGAAGACCCTCTAAGTTATAGGTAGTAACTAAGCAATAATTAATTGTACTTAATAATTGTCAGTATTATTATTACTAATTATAATATCATAAATAGTCTCATTCCAATGCAGAGTTTTCTTCCAAGCACAGAAATGAAACACTTTCTTAAAGAAATGATGGCAGTAATGAGAGGCAATGTATCAGACTGGAGAAATGTCACTAGTGGAGTACCACAGGGGTCAATTCAAGCTTTAAAGAATTCTGATAAAGATCTGGCAGTGGTTCTATACAGAAAACTCACCTGTGGACCGTATCCAAGAAAATTGTTTGAGGAACCTATGCTATGCTTTCCTGTTTCAGAATTGCTTTTAAGTACTGTACATGGATGGCAAAATATTAAAGAAATTGTTCACAACTTTGGTCTCAATAGTTAGAATATGCAGCTGTTGTATGGTGCCCATATATCAAGAAGCACATCAACAAACTGGAAAAGGTGCAAAGCTATGCAACAAAATGACTTCCAGAACTGAAAGAAAAGAGCTACAGGGAGAGGCTAGAGGCATAAATATGCCAAAGCTAGAAGATAAATGGAAAAAGAGGCTATATCATCACTACATACAAAATTACAACGGGAATCGACAAAATTGATAAAGGAGAATTTTTGAAATTTAGAACTTCAAGAACAAGAGGTCATATATTTAAGCTAACTAAACAAGGTTGCAGAAAGACCATTGGAAGGTTCACTTTTACGAACAGTGGTAGATGGTTAGAACAAGTTAAGGAAGAAAGTGGTGGAGGCCAAAAGCTTCGGTAGTTTCACAAATTTATATGATAGAGTACATTGAGAAGGTAGGAAACGAGCATAGCTCTCATCCTGTAACTACACTAAGATAATTACATGTAGGGAGGTATCAGTTTGCACCTTTGTGTTTACATCAGTTTTCAGTAGTTTACACAAATCCCATGTCTATGTAACGCTCAAAGATGAGGACTTCCAAAGGCTGCCCACTGCTTTCTGTGGACATGTGTATTGCTTTATCAGCTTAAGTTCCTGGCACACACAGCTCACCTCTATCCTTGATGCACCAAACAGCTGCACTATGGTAGTTTTTTGTAACACTTTCCATTGAGGGAAGTCTTGAGAACATGAGTAACGCACAACTGCTCTCAACAATCTGCCTTCACGACCAAGAGCAACTACAGTAGTGTACTTTATTTGATGGTTGCTCATAACCTCCTCTTAAGGATTAAATATACTGTATTCATTATACATGATTATAGACAATGTTTATGGATATTCATTACACTAGATAATTATACTGTATAATGGTAAGATTGCTGTGGTAAATTGTTTTTGACATTGACTGCTGTGGTGGGATATTGGAGATGTTTGAACTGCATTAGTACACTCTGAATCAAATTATGTATCTACCTTATAACATTTTGCCATCATTTTGCTATACAGTACTGGTATAACCATACAGGCTTAGCGCTTTTATTTTCACGATTACTTTCCCTGCTAACCACTGTCAACCCGCCCCACAGGCACATACCCGAGGAACACGGTCTGCCACTATATCTTTAGAGGCTGCAACCACCAGAAGGTTAAGGTGATGTTTAAGTACTTTGATGTCGAAGGTGTGGCACCGTAAGTAATTTATTTCTTCTTTTGTGCTTTGTGTTGTTCAGTTGCAAATGTTATCATAGTACAGGGTATTGTTTTGATACTTCTATCTTGCCTTAATGATTACCATTACTATATAATTGTTTATACTGTTGGTTTGGTAAGCCTTCTCTCTTGGTATGTCTGGTGATCATCTCACATTGTCACTTGAGGGGTTATACCAGGGCTAGAGCAGTTATGACACGGCATTCACTGCCGTTTTATTTGAAATTAAATTTGCTGGTTTTATATAAACTGTGCAATGTTTGATTTGGTCTTCTCCAGGTGCACAGCAGAAAGTGGCAGTGATTATGTTGAATTCAGCAACTTGCCAACCCAAGATATACTCCCAAGACGGTGTGGACGCTTTGCTCCCAAGGTTAGGTCACATACTTGTATCCCCTGCTTCTCTCAAGGTCATTTCTGCTTCTTGTTCTTTTGGGTACTCTACCCTCATTCCATTCCCATGCTTTACTAACAATACACATTCCAGTACACCTTGTGGAACACATCTCGGTACACTCCAACACAGTGTACTGGTCATCAGATATTGTCATTTAAGGATGCAATTGGTCTAGACCAATCATCGGGTAAGTCGGTGCCGAGAATTAAAATAGCCATCTATGATACATCTTTAAACAAAACATTCAGTATGAATGTCATCAGTGCTTCTTTAGAACCAAAGTATTGCACCGATGTCTTTTTATTGAGCATTGGTGAATGCGCAGTTTCCTAGCTATAATCAACTATATAGTACACCTCTGGCCACCACCTGTTACTAATTAGTAATGTATTTTATTTGCTTTCATTTCAGGTAGTGGAATCGGACGGCCCTTTCTTCCGGGTAACATTCCATAGCAACCACAAGTTTGATGGTATGGGCTTTGCTGCTACTTTTCAGTTCCTGTCCATGGATGATAACCCCAGTATCATCCAGACCCCCTCTCTTACTACTGCTGGTTTGTAGTTTCTGTGTACATCATTCCCATTGTGGATGGTTTAGCCACATGAGTGTTTAGTACATTATCATAATTATTTGCTAAAAATATACAATAGATAATGTAACAGTTTGGGACTAGTGTTCTTGTTACACCATCTCATCCGCTTGTATACAGTATTTGAGATCTTTAACCTTAACCTGTTTACCTTTTTCTACATGCGAACCCATCCTCACAGCAAATCCATTGCTGTATAATGAGAGAAAACACCCCCCTTCAAACCACCTGAAAAATTATCTAGATCTAATCTATCCCTATCTTGCATACAGTGATTGTGCATGGGGTTCAACCACTGCACACTGCCTCGAGCCCATCATCACTCGGCAAAAATCTGCTATCAGAACAATAACACACACACACACTGTTTTCAGACAGCACTCAATCTCCCTGTTTAGATCCTTAAACATGCTAAACATAAATTCATTCCACACCTTCTCTTGTGCCATTAACATTTACAAAACCCTGTTCTTAAATGCAAATCCTGATCTGAAACTCTTCCTTGACAGATGTAATAGAACCCATCAGCACCACACCAGAAATAAATATCTCTTTGATATCCCCAGTCAAACTAAATCTGTGTAAAAACACTATGAAAATAAAGGAACTTAGTCTATGGAACTCCCTAACGAATTAAAAAGCTGTCCAACCTACGCCTTATTCAAAAATAAAATAAAAGTACCTAATTTCATCCTCATAGTTCCCCTACCTAATGCCTTAAACTCACACTGTATCTTGTTACCTACTCCCCCAATATGTGCCTAAGCCATTCAACTTCACTACCCGAAACGTTATGGGTGTTACTGGCTTCTGCACAAATGTAAAAATACCAATCTTACATAATCTCGCCAACCCATTGTACCTTCTTGGAAATAAATTATCATTATTATAGTACATGGGATGAGGAATACTAGGTTAAAACAAATTATTTAATTAAATTATACGAGTTTTATAGTGATATCTAGTAAATCTTGAGCTAATACTTAGCAGTATTTTAATATATATGTACTTTTTAAATAAGGTACATGTTGTGCTAAGAGTTTAATGTTGACAAATGTGGGGTTAAAGTCTAGGAAATTGTAATATCTTGCCTAACATTGACAAGATAAAATTTTAGACATTGTGCTGAAGAATCGACAAATTTTCTAAACAATTATGACTTGTTCTCAAGCATCGAGTATCTCCTATATACTGTATATAATTATCATATGTTATATAGGAGGTACCTGATGCTTGAGAACAAGTCATAATTGTTTAGAAAATTTGTTGATTTTTCAGCACAATGTTTAAAATTTTATCTTGTCAATATTAGGCAAGATATTATAATTACATACAATATAATTACATTCAATTACATTGCAGGATAGCTTTATTAGGAAAATGATTCTAAGTGAATTAAAATTGGAGCTTAATAAATGGATGAATGTAAACAGTCCCATTAGCCATGCTCCGAAGGGTACGTAGAGGGTTACAAGGGATAGCATCCAAACGAACACCTCTATTAGTAACAACTCCAGTTCCCAGAATATCAGGATTACAGAAAGAACACATGACCATAATTCCATAGGAGACATTAATGCAGGTGCATCGACAGTCGAGAATAGTGGTGACATGGTCAGATCAAGAAGGATAAGAGGATTGGACGCAGTGTCACAGCCTCATTAGACGTTGAGATGTAAGTCTCATCCTAATCACACACTCGGACCTTGATAAAGCACTTGGGAAGTGCGAAAGACTTGGTGCAATTTCTTTACATAAATTTAACAAATACACAAGTGTGGGTTTTTATCCTAATGCAATCATATAAAATTGTATTAGTCATTTAACTGCAAATACAATATAATGGAATATTTTAAAAAACTTTCAATATTTCAGGTGCAGTTAGCCGGACAACCCATGTCATGTGTGTATGTATATTTATCATTTCCATACAATGCATATTTATATCTTAAGATAAACTGTTAACTCTTTCTAAAATATACAGATTTGTAAAATGTACTATATATATATACAATATCTTTTTAGTAAAAAAAAATTTAAAAAATTAATCTATTTTTCAGCCTCATCCCCAAATGAAGTCAGCTTTCCATGATGGTTAGGTGTTTGCATGCTACATTGATGACATACACTGTATTGTATTTGGCTTGTGTGAAATGCCACCTCCACCTCATTTCTCATCACTGGACAGTTGGGTCTGCCCTGGAGCAGCAGGTAATGTGTGCACCCAATTCTCTAGATTTGACACGTATACAATTTTAAGTGATTTTGCTGAACCAGACATGTAAGAATCTACGCATTACTCTTTACTCAACGTATTAGATTAATTTTGCTAAAATGCCAACATTTTTAAGACGTAGTAGATGGCATCAAAGTTGGGATGTATAAACTGAGGACAGGTTGTGACTATTGGGGTAAAGTGTGAATATTGGTGTGATCCTGTAAATCGGTCGGCTGGTGAATTTCAGCTAGTCATTGTGTTTTAACTCATGTCGTGGCTCGTCCCTTTTTTTCGTCATTTTGCATTTTATAACGATTCATCTTGTCAGGGACAGGCCGTCTGTGTGTATATATCAAAATATAGACCTCTACTTCAAAAGGTCAGATGTTCATGTAAGTCTGACCCTATGAACAAGAGGTGTAGATATTGATCCAGACTACTACTTTAAACATTAGATATAACATGAACAATGGGCAAGGGAATAAAGCTCAACAAATCGCAATGTAGGACAAAACGGATGCTTTTTCACCTATAGGGTTATAAATCCATGGAACTACCTACCTGCTGAAGTAATAATGTCAAAACGCTGGTGCAATTTAAGAACAGGTCAAATCAACAGGACAAAAGGGGAAGGGGGACCTTTGACATGCCACTGGGTTCCTGTCATCATGTAGGCCACAAGAGAGATAGTGACCCCTCAGGTAAATTCAGGTAAATATATTTTAGGCATATTTCGAGGTCCCCCCAAGGTTGAATTACTAACCCTCCTTAGGATGCAACCCTACAAGAAGCTAACTACTGGCTACCGTTTTACTGCTGGGTGACCAGAGGCATTAGGTGATCAAACATGTTTGGGTAAGTTTCCTGCACGTCCAGGATTCAAACCCAGAATTCCTGATTGAGAGTAGAGAATGAACCCAGCTGTAGTACCGAGACCCTGCCAAGTCATCCTAAGCACCGCTTGCTGCACTCACATCTTGCAAATATTTCTCCCTGTACATCCTGATGTACAATTATTACATTAAACTATTTTGGTAAGAATACAACAACAAAAATCTTGCTGTAAATATTTATTTTAGTAACTTGCTGATGGAAACATGGAATGCATCCCAAGCTTCACAGTTTCTGGCTTTCACTTATGTTACAGATATTTCCAACAGCTATAACATTACTTCATTTTAAAGCATACATAAGAAAGCATTACTATTGAATAGTTCAACAAACTATTTCGGTATTTTTCTTAAAATTAGACATGTTCTTTTAAATATGCTCCTATTTAATGCTTCAAGAATAACCCGAGATCATAGGCAATCTTTGTGTGTATACTGTACTGTAAATCTACAATATCACAATGTAATATGTATCCCAAATGGATCCATCTAGTACAGTAATGGTCATGTTCATTACCAAAATTATTTACAGTAACTATACAATTTGGCAAAATGTGCATCCCTATAAAAACTTCACATGTGCATACAAACAAGATCATGTGAAAATGTCTACAAATATTTAAAAGATGTTAACACACTTACCTATTTCATAAAGTGACATACCTAAAATGCATAGTATAACCTCTTACACTTTTCTTCAAAGAATTACCAAACCAATCTCTTCATTCATGTCACACATGTACGATAAAAGGAACATATTACACCAATTTTGTTGAGAAGCTATTATATACATCAGACCAAAGACATACATTACTGAAAATAAAAATGATAAAACAAATTGCTGGACAAAAGCAATTGTTAAAACACATTTGGAGTGGCAGCTAAGCTAGCTAGATGAAACTTTACATGTCTGATGGTGAAATTTATATTGTTTAGATGTTACTAAAGGTTGCTTTTTAGCAGCAATTATTTTTCTAATGATACCAAAACAATTACCTCTGACAATTAAAGTGGTGAACTTTCTAGCTATTACTTTCAAGCAAATTTTATCGTAAGACATTTTGATTTAACAGATTCAAGTGTAACTACATATTGTTCAACTTTAGAGACATTCCCACCAATCATAGATTGTACATGCCTTAGGTGCAATGATATTACACCTGCTTACTTCACTGTTAGATATAGTTACTTTGCTTAACCACTGCATTGTGCACCGTACCTTGAGGCTCTCAACAGGTGGTGCACAACGTGCCTCGGGGATCTTGTAGGTATAGCGCATCATTCAAAACTTCCACAGCCATGCGGCGTTCACATCAGCTTCCTCAGGCTTTCCTAAACAGACCCCATTTAAAAAAATCGTGGGCAACATTCCTGGGTGTGAGAGCCCCAGTACTGAGTAAGCAACCAAGGCTGGCGCATGCAGCATGAGCTAACAGCATTGCTGTTCAGCTTTTGACCACAATATTCCAAAAAATCTCCAAATATACACTATATGTATCTGGTATTATTTAGCCATGATAGTATTACAGAAAAGCCTGACTGCGATAACGACTGCGTAAAATGTTCAGATATAGGTGAATGAATGCTGTTCAAGAAGTTCAGAGCGCTAGCCACAGCACACTGCCATTAATTATTTCATCCATCTAAAATTCTTCAAACGATTTCTCATGTTCCTTTACGAAATAAACATGTGGAAAATTATTCATTTACATGATTTAATGACCAGGATTCTGAGAATAGCAGGATTGTGGTGAGGATTAGTGGGAGGAGTACTGTTGGTGAGGGTGGGAGGGTCGAGGTAGTGTCGTCTGCTGGCTGGTGTGTGGCAACATGTTATTGTCTGTAATAACAATACTAGCTTAGTGGTTTGCTATGGTGAACACAAATGTAGATGCTTATATATAATGTGTGTATAGTGTAATAACAGCAAAAGGCTTATGTTGGGGGAGGAGCCATTTAGGTGAGGGAGTGAGTGAGGCTGTTGTCTGCTGTGTGACTTGTCATGCAGTGGCCACTATGCTGTTTGGACACTATACCAGCTTATTAGTATAGTTATGGTGAATAAAGCATGTAGTTACTATGTGTGTACATAGTGTAATAACATCACAAACAGTATTGTGGGAGGAGTAATGTTGGCAAGTTAGGTGTTGAAGGAGTGAGGGAGGGCTGGCTGGGTGTGGCAGCCCTCTCTTGTTTTTGGAGCTCACCATACCAACATAGTGGTTTGCTATGGTGAACACACATGAGATAGGCATATACAATGTGTGTATATAGTGTAATAACACCAAAAACTGTTTGATTGATGGTAGAATATAATATACATGTCTCTCATATGAGCCCCATAATTTTGAGCACAGCAATGTTCCACACATTGAACTATAAATTCCACAAATTACACACTTGAATAATAATACAGCATAAAACCAGAGAAGAAATGAATGATAAACATCAAAATAATTGTGAAACATTATATTCGTGGCAACTGCTGCCCCACTGGGTGGCGGGGCCTTGAGCTCTATCGCTCAGCGCCCATATGCTCAACTTTTTAGCTCCATCGTGGCTCAAGTATGTTGCATACAATATTCTTTTTTAGTTTCCAGTGATCAGAGATGGCATTTTTATGTAAGGGGAGAAAAAAATTTTTTGTTAAGAATTTATTTTCGGCGCACCACGGGGGAGTGTCAAATTTTAATGCAGAGCAGTGCAGTGGTTAATTACAAAAATGGAACATTAGTCTTAAGTTGTAAGACAATTAAGATGACAGTATTGTGAAAAAAAACGGTGAAAGACAGACCTAAATTTAATGCTTCACATATTACTAAAATAGTAGGAAAGGGGGTATACAGTATAGTGGTTCTTTAGTGATACTATGGTGAAACTTTCAATAAATTGAGGACTCTTAGTGTGTGTGTGTTTGTGAAAAAATTCAAACTTGCTCAGTTCCCTGTGTACCTTGGAGAAGTCATTTTGTCTAAATTTGCCTTTTTGAAGTTGTTAGAAGTAACACTTAATGTGTGGCACATCAGAAACCCATATAGCCTGAATTTCTGTGGACAAAATTAATCTGGCGTATTCAATCTTATCCCTGAGAGAAAGTTATACTGTATTGCATAGGCCAGGAAGGCAAAGTATAAAGTTCTAACAGGATAGGTGGAAATAATACCTGCATAATACAATGGAAACAAAAATTATATTTTAAAGTTTGTTGCCTGAAAGAATCAAGGTGTGAAATGATGACAAGGTAAACAGGATACAAATTTTCTCAGATTTTGGGGCAATTGAATATAGGGAAAAATGCAACCATCATTATCAAAACTGAGGGAACTATTGCAGTAACCTATTGTATATTCAAAAAATATACAGTATTCATAAATATTTTGGCAAATCTCGTTACATAGACCTGCATGTTCTCATTATTAGTGTAATTAGTGGCATCCCTAAAATCAATATTGTATTCTGGAATTTTTGTAAAATAAGTTTCCAGAAACTTTCCAAGTTTATATTAAGTAACGTTTGTCTAAATATAATTAAACAATACATAAAAAAATAAGGCACGGAAAATTTGTTTGGCCTGTGCTACAAAAAGATAAGTGGGCTCGAACAGAGGCGGCAAAATACAATTAGTACTGTCATGCCATTTTTAACAGACCAATTCAGGGTTCTTGATGCCCCATGTTAATGCCACCCTCAGCTACAGAATCAGTGCCATACTCCTCTACCAGCTGCTTCCCTCCCAAGCAATAATTATGGCTTTACAATATTTAATAAGTAGGATGCCATGAAGGTGAGGTAGACAATAGCTTAAAGTTCAACAATCAACACTTCCATACCCCCAAGATAAACTCTGGTAGTCAAAATACATTTAACAGTCAACAAAGGTACCAAAAAATCTATATTGTTACACAAATATAAAACAAAACAGGTTACTTAACAAGCTGCTTAATTAATATTCCAATTTTGAGGCTTTTGTCAGTTATGTATTAATGCTTTGTTCTACCAGATTAGTTCGGTCTCGATTGCTCATGAAAGTATTAACTGGGAGTAATTAATTGAACCCCATCCATACCGGGCAAACTTGCCCCTGGGAAGGGAGCAATCTTGGGGGAAGGAGGGAGGGGAGGATGATAAGTCAGGCAGCCCTCCACCAGACAGGAAAAACTAGAAAGTAAAGAACCCCCAAAAGTGCTCCACAATAACAGGAGGCCAGAGACAGGCACGGTCGCTGCTTTTATGCAAGCTGGCAGTACAGTGCGCCCCAACCAGCAACAAACACTCCCTACCCAGAGCCAAACGAAAACACACAGACCCAAGCTGACCCCAAGGGTGAGGCAGAAGCCAAGTGACCGCTACCCCTACCGGAGTGGAAACCCACAAGTCTCAGGAAAGATGACCCTAAAACCAAGGGAAGTACTTATTGTGCACCTAGGGAAGAGAACCCCAAGTGCATGCAGCCCTAGTACTCTTCGCCAACGCTTCAGCACACAGCAGGCATCACCGCTAGGGTCAAAATTCTGACAGGCAATTGAGGCCAGAGTAAACATCCGCCCCAGTCGGCTTCAGTCGACAAACTGGTGGGCAAATGGCTGGCTCGGTGGGACAGGGGGCCCTCCCCCTCCCAGGAAAGGGGGTAACGAGAACGAGTGGCACATCAGGTTGATGACCATATTCTTGTTTCCTTGTATTTTCTTGGAGAGTTTAAGCCTCTGTTTCGGTCTCCGGTTGCAATTTTCTAAAAATTAGAGTCTGTTTTGGGGCGCCTACCTTTCTGGATGCCCAACCCCAGTCTACAGCAGATGTGAATATTCTCTCAAAGTGGAGTTTTCATAGGACATTGCTCCCTTTGCCTCTTTAAGGGAACCAGGTTCTGGCTCGTGGTTCCTGGTAGGCATGACAACTCCATATGACTGAAGCCCCCAGATTAATATCAGTCCTTTAGCGCCAGGGAGCCGACGGGGCTTCCCCCAGAAAGACAATATGATCACCGAGTACAAAATAGTAACGGAAATCTACAAAATTCATAAGGAAGAATTCCTGAGACCTGGAACTTCAAGACAAAGAGGTCATAGATTTAAGCTAACTAAAGAAAGCTACTGAAAAAAATATGAGAATTAACTTTTGCAGAGTGGTAGATGCTTGGAACAAGTTGAGAAGTTGGTGGCCAAAACTGTCAGCCGTTTCAAAGTATTACGAGTACCGGGAAGATGGGACACCACGAGCATAGTTCTCATCCTGTAACTACAATTCGGTAATTATACACACACAACTCGCTCTCTTTTTGCACTGTCCAACATTGAAAGAAGGGTCAACATAATGTGATAAGGGACAATTTGAAATGAATACTGTACATTGCTCTTGCTCTGTCTCTAAAAAATGAGTAATTAAATACTGGAAGCACTGAGCATCAACCTGGCAGTTTTCTTTTTAATACAAATAAAATAGTCATAAGCAATGTAGGATATAATGTATCCTAGGCATAGAGAATGTAGGATATGCCTAAAGTATATTAGTGGCTTTAGGCAATGTCCTTACCTACTTATGAATCCAACAATCTACCTATATCCTATGAATGTATGCATGTACTTTTTCCTAAATAACATGTTCATTCATTAGAATAAGTATTGTTACATATTAAACAATTAAACATTTCTACTCTTGAAATAAATTTAAGGATGGAGTTAAAATTTGAATTATATTATTTAAGTAACCAGTCTAATACTCAGAAGTTAAACAAAAATGGTTGTTGTTTACATGGAGCATTTTCAACAAACTGTAGTCATTTAAGACCATAGATGAATCAAACACATTCAACTGATCTAAGCATCAAGGGTATTCAAACATGTACAAATCCAGCTGTCAGTTTGATTACATGGGACTCTCGGTATCATCATATTGCCAAACATTCTTAATGTACCAAGTAATCCAACCCACAATATGAATAGTGTGTGTGGTCTCTTCCATTATTAGCCTAGCCACGACTTGATAACTGTGGGACGTATTCTCGTTCGTTCGTTCGCGCGTGTGTGTGTGTGTGTTGGTGGCTTTTAACCTATATATAACTATCAGATGGAAGAAGTTTAACAATAACTTTTCAAAATAAAAAGTGCACTGCCAACAATTAAAACAGGTTTGGATTAATCTAGAAAGAATGCGGCTCATTTAACTCTTCAACATTGATATAATAGTGAGTAATACACACACACACATACGTGTGTACAGTACTTAATGTTGCAATGTTTACTAGACCTTAACAGAATGGAATCTGGTAATTTTATGAACAAAAAAAAAAATGAACATTTTACTTCTAACAACACTCTAAATCATTACCTAAAATTTATGGATTTCATTAATGAAATGATTGCAGCTCTACAATCGGTAATGAATATAGAAAGCTACACATAGTGTAAAATTTAAACTCTACTATTGCTAGAGCACACACAATCAATGTAACTTGGTTTTAATGCATAAAATATTTTGTTTATAGACACAACCTTGATTTCTGAATTGAAAAAGTCACATTTCAGTTGTTAGTTAACTATGAAGTTTGCACAGATATCAAAGACTGTACATTAGGAATATTAATTCAACTGGTACAGCAACCCTTCTACCAAACTGCGTTCATGTTTTACAGCCAAGATCGTTGCAGATGCAACATTCCCTAGATCAAACAGATCTTCACCTCTATGGCTATATACAAAGGAACTTAAACAGTCTTAAAACATTTGGTATCTACCTTGTTAATAAACTGAAGCTTTATCACTACAATAATAACATCACAGCTTGTAATCACTATACCTAACACATTAACACGAGTCACTTTCATAAAAAACTACATTAACATGTACAACTTATGTTTACTCAATATGAGAAATATAACATTTTGAATAAATGCAACTTCCGAACGACTTCATGTACAGTTTCACTTAACCCTTTTGCTTCATTAAGTGGGGACGCTTACTTCATAAACAAATTTATTCAACGGGATGGACATAAAAATAATTTCTACATCTTGTAACAATCGTTAAGACTCCTCTAGTTCTGAGGGTCCTAAGACATAGGACCCTCAGAACCAGAGGGGTCAAGACGTACAACTCCTCAGAACCAGAGGGGTCAAGACATACAACTCCTCAGAACCAGAGGGGTCAAGACGTACAACTCCTCAGAACCAGAGGGGTCAAGACATACGACCCTCTGAATCAGAGAGGGCATGGAAAGTGCTGCCATATGGTGGCAGCAGGAAAAAGTTATGCCATACAATAGATCTAAAATCAGCAGGAAAATATTTTCATGTCTGAGATTTGGTTATCAAAATGATTAGAGAAAATAGAACAAGTCTATACTGTAAGAAAAACATTTCAGAATTACTATTATACTGGCATTTTTTGTATTTGAACAAAAATATATGAAATTCCTTGGTGAGAATGCTTGTCCTATATTCATGATATTCAATGTATTGTGAACATATATAGCCTAGCATTAAGTAACTTTCATAATGTTTACCGTTAGAAAATACCCATCAAATGTGTGTTAATAAAATGGTACCACTGGAAAGAGCATATATGGTAGATTTAAGAAAAATATGGAGTTGAAACAATTGCCAAAACAAAAGGGTTAAAAACCATTACAAATGCAAGTCTTATAAATTTAACAAAATTTACATATTTATTTCAAGAGTTTTCTGAAAACAAATCAATGCTTATATTGGGCTAAACTCAATGTCTCTAAATGTAGCATACTGGACACAAAAAGTATCTTTTTATTTATCAGAAAAGTTGACTTTGGAAATGCTAACTCACTTGGAGTTAGCACTGCTAGCATGTGTCAAGATGTTGCTACTGCAATACGAGGAAGAGTTACAACAAAATCATGCAAATGGGTAAACATTCTTAGAAGGTAAATAAAGAACTATGCTAAAACACATGCCTATAATACTCTTTCTATTGAAAGACTTGTGAGGTCAGAGAATGAAGCTTACTGACAGTAGAATTTCTTCTACATGAGGGCATGTGCTTACACCATGGGCTCTTTATTACCTAATGTTGAACATTCAACTTTGTAGTTTGTCACATTAATGGAGATTTTTTTGGGTTCATACTGACAAAAACAGAGTAAAACCCTTAATATTTCAAATGAAGATCTTCAACCATATATCCCCTTCTCTTCTATAAGAATAATACTTCACTCTTAGACATAATCCATAAACCCCTTGTTATAATATGTTCCACTATTCACTAAAATCAAAGCACTGATAACATTAACAACCTTTTTATCTCTACCTTATACTTTACAAGAGATCAAAACAATTAACGCTGTTCTTATCTGCCATTCCATGCAACACATTCCTATACTGGATAACATTTACTTAAAATATTCAAATTTTGATTACGTACAGAAAGAAATACTATTCTCACAGTATTAAATTTAAAAATTAACATATCTTCTAGGTATACTGTGTGCATTTACAGCAACACACATTCACACTTAAAACTAGTTCTGGCTGCATACTTTTGAAAATTGTCCAATTTATTAATTAGCCTTTTGCAAAATTCAAATAAAAATTCAAGAGCATAAATGAAATGTTGTCTATACAAAAAAGCATTTGTTTTGCTTCCCTGCTTTCCTGAGTACTGTACTGTACTGTATATTTGACATCAGTGAGAATATAAACACCTTCATATTATGCTACACAACAAAAGTTAGTATCACTATGTGCATTAGTGACAAAGCATACAATGTCCAATTTCAATATACTGTAGTACTATGCAGTAGTGATTTTAAATGGAGAACAGAAATTAGGCGTTTAATTCATACCCATTTCCTATCATGAATAATTTCCCTGTGGGAAAAGAGCAATTACCACACTTAAGATCATGGGATACAGTATATTGTTCCAAAGAGATCACCTAAAAATATTCCTTCCAGCACTTATCCCATGTTGACTAGAATACTGCTGTGTATGAACATCATTTCAAGTGAAATAGTGTAAATAGAAAGCCCTCAAACAATGCAAACTACAATACTGTACTCTCAATTGCATATTTATCTAACGTGTTGTTAGCACTTTAAGCAACCTGTCCTCTTAAAAATAACGTCACTTTTGGCTCGCATGCGCGCTATGGCCAAATTTGGACATAATTTGAAATGAAATCTACTCGCAAAAGTGACGTACTGTTCGGTTTTCTGTTTGAGTCGTCCGGCTTATGCAGCGGACAGGTTAGAAGTGAAAACTTTCAATTAAAGTTTTGAAACTTTGAGATTTTCCTGCCCACCTAAACTATCGGAGGACCTTTAACTTAGGTTAGGTTAGGTTACTGTTGTTGAAAAAAAAAAAACTTATTTTCATTTTTTTTTTCATTTTCAAATTACGTCCACTTTCGGCCTTATGGGTAAACGGCCAAAAGCAACGTTATTTTTAAGAGGACAGGTCGCTTTAAGAGCGGTGTTCATCCAAACTAATTCAATAAAGCACTTAATCTACTGGAAGTACAGTACGTAACTTGTACTCAGTGACATGTAGACAACCAAGATAATATCCTAATAAACATATGGAAGATATTGGAAGGGCGGGTACTCAGGTTCATGGTGAAAAGCGAGAAGCATGGCAACGTGCGACTAACCTCACGACACCTTTCAAGATTAATTGGTACCTTAAGAATGATAGTTCCGTATAAACATTAACCTATTTCAAGCAAATAAGAGGAGCATCAAACAAATTAGAAGAAACCATTAAAATCTCTTCATTTTAACACATGATACATCCAATTAAATTCAGTCTTATGGCTCAACAATTATATGATCATAGATTTCACATTTTTATATTAGCATTGCAGCATAATTTATACATGCATCTCCTTAACACATCCATGTGTCAACTCCCCTCCCCAACCAGACATTATATCACTAACGACAAGTAATTGCGTCACTCGACACCACTATTATTCACCATTTACAAGAAATATCCTAAATCACCTCAGATTGCCACACTTGTTACAAGCTTTCTTTGAACCCTACCTAAATAATTTATTTTCCTCACGTCTGCAAATATTAAAAAAAAAAAAAAATTAATAATAAGGCTCCGATTCCATATGTAAAGCCACTTTCTCTGTAATCACTGTTGCTTTCTAATGTAAGTATTCACTGTGGCATAGACCAAATTCAAGTAGTCAGGCAGGGAAAACTTTCTAGAGTAGAGGGGGCATTTACTTTGAATTTTATTTATGGATGGTTGTTACAGTGGTATGTTGAGAATATCAACATACCACTGTATGTTGTGGTATGTATACAAGACCACGCATAGTGTTTCTTGTAGCCACATAAGTGTTCATATGATCACCTTTCTTCTCCTGGAAGCTGACTGCATTTTCCAAGTCACACCTTTATCAATCTCGGAGGAACATACTGTAATAAATTACAAAAGTGCATAAAGTAACACCCATCCTTCTCAACATGACACTGTAACAACCATCTGTTGCAAAATATGATAACCACTGAAATACCCATCCTTGCTATCATCACCTGCCCAGTGCGGTTGCCACTCGGCAAGAACACACATTTACCATACTATACATTGTATTCCAAACCAAACTGTGCATCACACAAATAAATTGGCATACTGTACAAATACTGTACTGTACAAATACTGTACTGTACAAATACCTAATGACATTAACTGGTTGATTAACTAATAAAGGCATGATCAACTCTCACACAATTATTGCTTACCATGTTGTACACCATTTTGCAAACAAATTTCTTTTGACCAATTTTAGTACTGTACCATAACATGCTCTCTCACACTGGTCTTATGACAGTAGGCAAACCTAAGAAATTTTCCTTATATTTTATACTCCTAAAATATCTGATATACAATACTTTTGTTCACATATACATTACAATTTACAAATGTATAAAGAGGATATTCTTCATATCAATGTAATACACTATGTACATTTTCAAAATTCTTAATCCTTTCAGGACTGCATTTAACCAAACATACTTGTTATTAAAATGCTTTATGTCCTATGGAATTCTGGAAAATCATATTTAATATTGCACAGTATAAAAAAGAAAAAAGAAATCTGAAAAAAATATTTACACAATTACTAAAATAAAAATTTTGGTTCAAGAACTGAGTTATTACCTCACTTTCTTAGCTTTTTCACAGAACAAACAAAAACCATTAATCTACTAAAATCTATAATTTTCGTTTTCCTCAATAGTTCTTATCGAATCTTTATAACGTTAGTCTATATATATCTTTAATACGTATATTGCTGAATGACTATACTGTAGTTGTAGATAAACAAGCACATTAGACTTTTTCCCCACAGTCAACTTGATACGCACTAAATCTGCTGGCACCAGGCACAGCTCATGGGGCCTTCAATGCCAGACATTATTATTATTATACTCGTGGTGTCAAATTAAGTGTCCATCCCACAGGAAAATATCGTACAGACAATGCAAATTCAAAGTTCCCTCCTGAGTGCAATAACACCTCCAGCTGCGCCCAAAACACTGCTATAATTACTGTACTATGTTTATTATAGTACCTTATCTTGAAATTACTGTGTTTTCTCAAATCTTTTTACCAAGTACATATTATATAAATAATATTATCAATATCTATATTTTTCATGAGATGTATGATCAAAGTAATTTTTTTATTCATGTATAGCCTACAAATCCCTGCTTTGAACATTCAACTATGCAACATTACAATTTACTGTCATGCCACATGTTTGCTGAAGCCACTTGTTTGCTCCCTTCAGCCAGTTGCATATGTGGACACCAGAGAAATTCTTTACTAACAAGTTACAAAAACTTGCTCACGCACCATTACCAGAAACTTTCCAAATGCTTTAGTTATATTGCTCGGGAAAAAAGACATTAATGCAATAGTTACGGCGAGAGGATGCAAAGTGTGGTGGGAAGATTCAAGAACAATGATGTATTGTTGTGAACAGAGACTTTCAGCTCTAACAAATATCAATGACCAGAAAAGAGAAAGGCATCTTTGTATTGATAAGACGAGTGTGCTTGTCTCAAATTAAACCTAATATACACGAGATTAACAAAAACAAGCTCACACCTCTCATTGAATTTGTATACTTAAGAATACAAATGTAAAAGGCTAGTCTATAAGTATGTAAGAGAAAGGCGTTCTTTTGGCAAGTCTTGTACCCTATAGCTGCTGTGCAGGTCTGCATTGAGCATTTGTAGTTGCCCATCTAAGGACACGAGTACATCGGTGTCGGGTGTCTATGAACTGGAAATCGCACGAGTAGTTCATAAATCGTGTGTGGTGACAAATGATGCCTGGATATGCTAGTAGAGAGTTTATACAACTAGCTTGTATAATCATGAGGGGAGGGGGAAGGCTCACCCTTCAAGTTAGCTGTTGATACCTGCTTGATGGGGTTCTGGGAGTTCTACTCCCCAAGCCCAGCCTGAGGCCAGGCTTGACTTGTGAGAAGTGTAGCAGGTACCAGCCTGAGTCACTTTGACCTAACCCTAGGTCATTGGTAACCCTGTTCCTCCCTCTCCCTGCCACACCAGCAAAGCCCGAGTTCAGCCAATGAAATGCGGGTGTATGGTTGAACCTGTATCCTAATTGGTGCTCTGTCTATAGGCTTTTACTTAAATGAGTGAAGTGTGAGCCTGGCTGATCAAGCCTCAGCTCTCTTCCTCATTCTCATAGAAGTTGTTGAACATACCAGACATGTACTCCCTTGAGCTCCAGAGCACCGTCACCTTTCAACAGTTCAACAGTACTGTACTCATTCCCGCCATCTCAGTTGAGATGCCTCCCCATAAAGTCACTAATATACATGTGACTTTACTGGCTTCTCTAAACCTAAGCTGGTGGTGATGCTGCAACCAGATGACAGTCTGGATAATGGCCGATTTCCCAGTCAGTAGTTAGCAAATGTATTCAAATTATTGTTTAGGATAGTTTATCCCATCTAATGTTAATTTTGTGAGTGGTAGTAAATGTGTGTTTTTGTGATGGCTGAAATTTAACTTACCACACTGTCATCAGACTATTTTGAATGTTTATGGGCATATCAGAGCCTGAATTGCAAAATATGTCTGTGTGGATACGTACAGGATGCTGCCTTAAGGAACCAATCAAGGGAAAAGCGCAGAAAGAAGCATGACTGGCATGTGGATAAAAAATTGATGTAGTGAAGCAAAACAATTTGGGCTGAACAGACACAGGAACCAGTCATCACATCACTTGGTAGCTAATGCAGTGAAAGGATTAATAATTTGATTCCCAAGAAAAATAAAAATTCTCACAAAATAAATGATGAATACAGTACTGCAAAAATGTGACCAGAGTCACTGATGCACATCAATACCCTACATTCTTCTTATTTTAATAGCTGGGTGGTCCAGGAATAACCTTGTGATTCACAAGGCCAACTAATGTGTGTTCCTAAGGTCACTTCCTGTCACTAATAATTGTGACTCAAGATGACCAGACCACACACCAGAAAATGAAGAAACGACGACATTTTGGTCCGTCCTGGACCATTATCAAGTCGTGTGTGTTATCAATTCACACATGACTTGATAATGGTTCAGGACGGACCGAAACGTCGCCGTTTCTTCATCTTCTGGTGTGTAGTTTGGTCATATGTTCAGCCACGTTTTTATGACTCATATTTACTGGTATGTTTATTAACATGCATGTTAATACACCCATGTTCATGACTTGTATTTTGAAAACTTTATAAAGGAATATTATAAACCTTCATGTAAAATAAGCCATTTCTTACACAAGGAAATATGAATGTTAAATTATCCATGATTACATAATTTGATCTCTTTAATAAAGCTTATGCAGGAAGCCTTCATTAACCCGAGACATCATTATTGGCTGAAACACTAACTGCTTTAAAGAAATCTTCATCCAAAATTCAGTATGACTGTCAATATTAATTATAAGACATGGACTCATTGGAGATATTTAAGTCAGCATAGATACAACAACCGATTGTAGCCTCGGGGATACGACGGCCGACTGTGCTTTACTACATATTTAGGTGAGCAACGTGAAAGATAACATTAGCAAAGCAGCAGGAATTTCAGGTTTAATCTGTTACATATTTTACTATGTGGGTGTCTAAAACTGAATATGAATACAATTCAATTTAATATCTACATTCAAATGGCAATTACAGGTAGGCATAAAATATCCAGCAGAATGAGCAACCTTCTAATAAATATATATGTAATCGAATGACTTTTTTTTTCACGTTATTACTTGGCATTTAAGAATAATAAGCAGCAGTTATTAATTTCTAAGCAACATCTCATCCTTGTCCTAGTTGCAATTTTAAGTTCATTTTTAGATAGACAATTTACAATATCCTTTAATTTAACTTTCTTTTTATTGGGCCACATGAAAACATTCCAAATTCAAATGGAGATTCCCCAACCATTTACATGCAGCTGTGAACATGCCAACATATTTATACACATAGGATGTAACCATCTGAACACAAGAATCCAAAAATAGACAGAGGAAATACTGTACTAAAACATATTTATAAGTTCATACATAGCACCAGTCACACTCACTGCTTCCTATTCGATACCATGGGCAAAGATCATCACCAGACCAGGATCAAGAAGCATATCATCGTTCATATGGCGATTATCACAGGCCATCACCACTACCGCCTGCTTCCCTGGTACTCTTTTACAGATGTAACTCTCGTAATGTCGACGATTCATCTGCAATAATTATCACCAAGATTAATTTCAGAAGGGAAGAATAATGTTACAAAATCATCATAGGCTAAGTGTGTTTTGACTGTACAACAATATCTTTATGTTACAAGTAAAGAAATAAAAAGTCAGCTATAAGCCATTGCTCCTCGCACCTCTCTGAGGATGCCAGGTTCTGGCTCGTGGTCCTCGGTAGCCAAGAACTTATCGAAATGACTGATGCCACGGTCTAATACATACACATCAGCCCGGTATAGTCCAAAGAGCCGTAAGGGCCCTCCACCGAAAATAAACAATTATGGTCTGGGAGGATAAGCAACTACAAAATGGTGGGAAATGTGTCCTATACACACAGAAATTACAACAGTGGGATACTGTACTGTATATCATGACGAGGATTCGAACTTACGCCCAGGATGATCCCAGACGCTGCTTAGTCAACTGCACCACGAAATGGTAAAAGAATTGCAACCGAGAGCTCAGTAGAACTCCCGGTTGCAATTCTTTTACCATGTCGTGGCGCTGTCGATTAAGGCAGCATCTGGGATCATCCCGGCCCTTGTGGATTTGTTCATGAAAATGTGTCCTAATTAAATTGTCCTAGAGTCCCAGAACTCTGAAAACCTATAGAGATGACTAAAGTATAAATCTCTGCATTATAACAGTTTTGTCTGTCAAAGAAATGTTTGGAATATGGTGTTTCAGGAAGCATATTAGACAACAAATGTTTCAGGAAGCACACTAGACAACATTTCTAGATCTAGAATCCTTACAGTTTCAATGGACTAACTAGGGAGGTTCTTGACTGATAGCAGAACTATTTTCTATACAAGTTTGGGAATCAAGGGTATTTCAAAATGCTTTAGTAAAAATGGGTTCTATTGTAATATTCTATTTCTAAGATCAGGCATTTTAGCTGTGACAGGACTCAAAAGAGTAAATAAGGAAAGATACATGGTAGGTTAAATGCAAATGTTACACAATAAAAACTGAGGCATACAAGATAAAAGCATCTGCCAAATCCATTACTCACCAACTGCAACAAAGCAACATGTTTAACAACCACCTGTTGGAGCATTTGGAATGACTACCAAGCACATGGTTGATGGTCAGGAAAGCATCCATAACGTCAACAAAGCTTTATAGACAACTGCTAGGTTCACAAGACTCAAAGTCTCGAAACTGTGAAACAGCTACACAAATGATTCAAGCCAAAGAAATTAATTCACACCACAAGGCTCTGAGTGCTCTGTCCTCCGCCAGTCAGTTCTGCAACCAATGTGTTGCCTAGTGCACGACTGTAGTACTGCATGGTTGCTATCTTTCACGGCAAGTCCCAGTGCTTTTAAGCCAAGTGTCAACCATTCTAGGACTTGTCCTGCAGAGGCGCCATTTGCTTGTGTGTTGTTCTAATATAGTACCATCCTCTCAAGCAAGTTTTCTATCTGGTGTTGTGTGGACTTTGATTTTTGCACTCTGAACAGCATGGGTTCAGTGGTTACTGTCCTGGGTGTTTGTTTAGTGCTGCCCTTGCACTGGCAGAGTACCTTCTCTGGCGTGTTTTGAAGTTTGCCTTTTCCGAGGCCCAGCCAATTTTTTTTGCAGTTTCGAGGCTTCGAGTCTTGTGAACCCAGAAGTTGTCTAATACTTTGTTGACTTTTGGGATGCTGTCCAGGGGAAATGGTGAAATGTTGTTTGCTCTCTGCTTCTGTGAGGTCAGATTTTGGCTCTGGTGTCCAGTAGGCCAAACAGAACTCCTATGACTACTGTGACTTGTAGTATGGAGCAATCTCAGTGAGATAACTACAGGAAGCCACCAAGGGGCTTCCAGAGAAAAGGGCAAATTATGTACATACTAAAACACATCACTGATACAGATATTACAATTACAGTACAGTACTGTACTGGTATTTGAATAACTACATAAAAAAAAAAAAAAGACTACCAAAAATAGTCAAACTTCTCTGAGGTACACACTACCTGCCTGGTCTCCAGCGTGGATAACCCTGGTGGCCACCGCCGTTCATGGGCATTTTCCATAAGCTGGTCAATAATGTGTGGAGGGCACCCCGACTCACTCAAGGCGCGCCGAATCACAGCCTGAAAAGGATAGACCTAATAGGTTGACCAGTCCAGCAATGATGACTGAGCCGCAGGGACGCTAAGCCCCCGGAAACACTTCAAGGTAAATACAGAATCATTGCTAAAACTGATCTTTACAACTTTTGTAAGACATAGTATCATTTAAACTATAAAACATAATACATTTGTAAGTTTCAAGTTGCTTTCTCAACTCGTCTATATGTTAAAGTTTGAAATCAGCGGTTAACTCCTGTGTCAGCCATGACAGAGGACTACTGAAGCCACCAATGGCCTTTGAACTTTAAAGACTCGCTTAGTACTCATTAATGATATATATGTATTTATAGATTTTGAACATAAAATAGGATCAATATACAGCATACCTACCTTTACCTACCTTGCGATGATTTCGGGGCTTAGCTTTCCCACGACCCTGTCCTCGACCAGGCCTAGGTCTAATATTTGAAAAATATGGCTTCCAGGAAATTAAGTACCTTTCAGCTGTGCCTTGTCCCCACAAGACCCATCAGGAGACATGGGTCAATATTTAATCCTGACAGAATTTGTAGAGTGCAATGTATCTGACAGAATCAAACTCATCTCCAAGTACTTGCTGACTCCAAGTACTCCATTTACAGCTGACACACCCCATTTTTCAATGACTTTTCTGCATTCATCTCCCACCCAAGAATTTTAAATCTCCAGCACAACTTTCCTACCAACTTACAGCTTCTCCACAATCATTCAGCCAATTCCAAAACATTTCCCTTTCATTCTTTCCTTTTTCATTCCCATACACCCATGGAGTATATGCACTTAGAAATACATCTCTTGTCACTATATTTTACACTTAATTCAACTTCGCCTTAAACTAACACACTAATACCCCTTATTTTCTCATTCACTCTGGTATGAACTAAGAAAACCCCCACCATCTTTTTGTCCAAATAATTTGTTTACATTCTTGAATCATTCTGTAAATCTTTATCCTTGCATTTGAATATAGCTCTCCAATATTCTTCCCACAAATATCTCCCAATGACTTGAGCCTAAGACACAGGGTAATGATCATTATAGAGTGGAAAATGTTATTCTGTTAAGAGCATACAATTACCAAATACCAGTTGTCAAGATTAATATGAATGTGGTATAATTCAATTTCACATGGCAGCTGGCTGAAACACATCTTTTAGATTATGACTAAGATTTGACATCACTCTAAAGCGACTTTAATCCTGAAGCAATCCAATCATGTTAACCGCTCTACCTGCAACATAGCATCAGGAGTGGATATCATGCCTCCCCAGCGAGTGACCCGCGCACGTGATAAGGAACTGGCCCACCTCACAACCTCATCTTGCTCCATTTGATCAGCTATCGCTCTCATCTGTGGGTTACTGATTCTCATGGCTCGCATAAAATCCTAAAACAAGAAAACAAATCTCATTAAATGCTTAGTAAGCTGTTACTAAGCCTTCCACGTAAGTTTAAAAGCAAATTTAAAATTAAATAAAACAGGGATAAGCTTATTAAACTCAATATAAAACTGTACAGCAATTGCCTACCAACTATGAGACACTCAACAGCCATGGTGAACTGTCCATACTTATTACAATATACAGTAACTAAACTATTAGCAAGGAAAACAGACTCTTAACAATACAGTACATACTCAAAAATCATTATGCAAATCCCTCAGGAAATTTGACTCCTAACAATTCATGTGAAGAACACAGTTATGTAAATCCAATCAAGAAATTTTGACATTTCTGGCAATAACATTCATTATATACAGTACTCACTAGTCAAAAAATTATAGCAATTTTTGTTAGATTTGTCTAAATTCAAAATTTATTTATATGTTTCTCAGCCCATCTGCAATTTTTTCCAAACAGGAAATGTTGTCTAGTGTGAAGCATCAATCTTTGCTCAAAATGCTTGCTGAACTTTCATCAAATATTTCTCTCCACTCAAATCATACAAGTTATTGCATTCACCCTTATTATTGGTTTAAAGAAAAATAATATTAAAAAATATTGGAAGAAAAATTTGTTCAAAATATTTTTGAATTATTAGGTCAACCACCAATTAAGCACCTAATGTATTTATTAAATAAATGATTTAAGGATGATTCTGCATTAAGTGAATACAAAAAATTGCACACAGTTTAATTGAAGAAAAACACTTCCTGACTGACAAAGTATTAATACTGTATCATAAATTTATCATGTGTCACAATAATGGTAATTACATAAACTTTATAAGCCACATAAATGCAAACAGTATATTACTTGCACAGCAATTTACTGACTATGCACATGTAAATATTTACATGTGGATAATCACTAAGTTGGCCAAGTAGGAATAACTGCACATGACGCATAGGAAGAACCCCTTCCTTATCTCGTGGGTCTTCTCTTTGGCCACATTAACGCAGCAGTGTAACTTGGTGTTCTAATCTCTTCTCCATTTGCCTTTTGTCCATTTAAATTAGTGGTATTATTTCCACATTTGATTTATTTGTCCCTTGTGCTTTCGATATTTTCACACATACTCTATTTCTCCCTTTGACGTATCTGTTGATGACCGTCCACTGTTTTCTCACGTTGGTGCCCCTAGCGAACATCTGCTGAACACTCATGGTTCTAAACCAGTATGTAGAGTTCTTTGACCTATGTTTGAAGCACTCCTTCGTGATCCTCCCAACATTACAATAGCATTGGATTTATATGACAGCCACATGGTGGGCCTACAGTAGGACTTAAATCTAAGCTGGCCAATCATGTCATTCTTTGACTACTGCCCTATAACATACTTTACCTTCAACCACTGATTTAAATTATATTTACAGATGTGAGCTGTATTTGTCATCTTACATCAGCCAGGTAACATACCTATGACTTGAAAACTGTCACAAAGAGATTACCAACATTTGTTTCATATTTTCAGATCTAGAATCATTATTTCCTAAACAAAAAAACAAAAAAATCTAGGTGCAGGACAGATAAAAAAAAAAAAAAAAATTGTGAGGGGGGTAGATGAACAACACATTTTTAAATATCTGAAATATTTACTTATGGCCACTCCCAATTGGACAGCGAGTTTCCAGAAGGAATAGAAGTACTTAAAGATATAGAACGACTGCTAGATACAATTCATTCACTAAATATAATTTGTCTTGTGAGCATGATCAATCAAGCTCTAAATATAAAGACAAACTTGCCAGCAGTACAGTACCTTTAAGAGCTGTATTTCTCGTTTCTGTTCGTTAAGTTGGTATTTATTTTCAGCAAGTTCTTGTTGCAACTCTCCAATTTTACCAGACTGACTTTGTATTAAAGTTCGCAACTCACGAAGACAGTTATGGTCCTGAAATAAGTTCTGAGAATTATATGGTGGTGTGTATTAATTATAACCTGAACAGATATGAACATTTTTAACACATTCTCTGATTAACACAGTTATTTGATTACAGTAAATCAGTTATAATTAAAATATAAATATCATAAATTACATTAATTACAACAATATACACTGTGCTAAAAGCTTGTACAACTTTCAGTTACAGTACTGTAAAGCAACAAAAAAAAAAAAAAAATTAATTAATACAAGCTCTAATGCATGAGAACAGCCCAAATGTGCAAAATAACATATTACCCAAAACCTGATTAAGCTTTCAGGTTGCAGAACTTCATAATATTAAAAATAAACAATTTAAAAATTGAAATAATACTGTACTTATCTCAGATAGGTCTATAGCCTGAAATAATTGAGGTTTAGGACTTAATACCTGTTGCCACATGAATAATGTAGAGTACACTTGTCAGAACTTTTAATTCTAGGTACTAGTAATTAGTTTAGAAAAAAGTAAAGTGTGTGCAATGATCACACCTTCAACTCATCCTTAGGTACAACAAGGCCACATCCTTGTTCACACGGCACAGGACGCTTGGGGTTGAACTCACATTCCTCCAAGTGAGAGCTCAGAGCATCAAGTTTAACAATTGAAGTGCAACCGTGAGGTTTGTTGTCACATGATATATACAACCTGCGACAAGAGAGATCAATTTAGTAATGTGTAATTTAGATGAACTTTTTAAAAGACAAGATAATAAACTACATTAATCCTCATTAAGTGATTTAGGCCTACATATTCCTAATAACATGCAACTACTGCCTAATTTAAAATCATTAAAAATGCCTCAGCAATGGAGCATTAATTTACCTTGGAATTTAACTATATTACTAATACTGTAGTCAGATAATAAGATAGAGTATGAAGATTTGCTAAAGGAACAATAAAAATATTGGCCATGTTGTTTATTACCACTCACAAATGAATATACAGCACAGGTAATTAGCAAATTAACCTGGAATCCATATTCAGAGAATATCCCTTAAAAATTAAAGTAACAAGTAGAATAAAATGCCAATTTTTGAGCCGCACCTTAGTTACACCCTGAGTTAGTAACGGGCTCACCATAACTTATAAGTATGATTATAAGCAACTTTACACCACTCTAAGAGAAGCAGCTTTTTAAACAGCCTTGACACAGTCCAGAGGTGATAAGCATTGTGGAGAGCAAACCTCAATCCACAGCTGAGTAAAATCTGCCCACTATGGCACCCCAGACTGGTGGTGTGAAAACACATGTCACTGCACTTCCATCAAATCTGCCATCCACCTCCTATACAGGTGGAGGTAGAGCAGCCTTAAAAACTCCAGGGGCCAGATTCACGAAGCAGTTACGCAAGTACTTACGAACGTGTACATCTTTCCTCAATCTCTCATGGCTTCGGTTACATTTATTAAACAGTTTACAAGCATGAAAACTTACCAATCAACTGTTGTTATTGTTATAAACAGCCTCCTGGTGCTTCGGCGCTCATTAACTGTTTAATAATTGTAAACAAAGCCGCCAAAGATTGAGAAAAGATGTACAGGTTCGTAAGTGCTTGCGTGACTGCTTCGTGAATCTGGCCCCAGATATGAGATCAGTGGTGAGATTTGAAAAGGCCACACAACTTCAGTTGTCGATCATCAGAGTAAAATGAAAGTCTGTGAAGAGTACTGTCCGAGATTAATGAGAGAGAGAGAGAGATGTGTCAAAAACTACGGAATGAAGCTGAAGGAGCTAGCCCTTCAGCATTCATTTTTTTTGCATCATGGTATATTTAATTAATATATTTCAAGACACTGTTTAATTTAAATAGTGTACAATGTACAACTTTTCACTTAATAACTGAAATAATCAATAATTTTCTTTAGATATACACTGTACCATAATACAAGGTACCAATAAACATTTCTAGTACACTGTACAGATTATAGGTGTGCTGCAAGGATGATTTTGCCATGTAATGTTCCAATATTTTACTATGTGAACAATGGGTACAAGGATTTTTTTTTTTTTAAATATTACATCACAGCTGATATATGGTTAAGGCATTTTGGGCAAGATATGGGCCAACTTTGATCCAAACTGAGGTGGTAAAAACCAGCATTGAATGTAATGAAACACCTCCGGGTCTCTTCCAGGGGTACAACCGGGAGAAGACCCGGTTGTACTTTTCTTACTATGTGGGGTCCGTTTTGTTAATTTCTACTTTCTAATTTCTTTGTATGTTGGTATATGTACTATGGTCCTCATCGTTACTATAAGTATTACCAAAACAGGAGGATGGGTTTGTTTTGTTATGCCTACCTTTCTGGGTGCCTAACCCTGGTCGATGGCAGATAAGGTTAACTCCCAACTACAGGGGTTTTTTTCCAGGTCATTGCTCCCCTCTCTGAGGGGGGGGGCAGGTTCTGGCTCGTGGTCCCCGGTAGGCAGAACTCCATTGACTTAACCCTGGTCTAATGTACCACACATTAGCCCGATAGCCCCAGGGAGCCTTCGGGGCTCACCCAGAAAATGGCGTTTCATTACATTCAACACTGGTTTTTAAACATCTTTATATATAAATAGAGTTCAGCAAAACAAATCTACAAAGAGTTTATACCTGCATGTCTTTATCTTGCTTGTCACTTTAATTGTTAGCTCCAAAAGTTTAAAATTACTTATTCAAAGCAAAAACATATTTGCCTTTTCTTATGATTTTATTCGTCCCTCCTCAAAGTAACAGGACAATGTATTCCTTTTCTCATGATTTTATTCGTGTCTCCTCAAAGTAGCAGGACATGTATTTTACATAATACTTCAGTGACTAAACCAAAACCACACTCACTTTGAAAGTAAACTGCGTAGTATCCTTGGAACGGACTTAAGCTGGGAGGAGGTAATAGGCTGGCGATCAACAGGACAAGTCTGCTGCCTGGACAACCACTCATTGATGCAGCCGCTACAGAAGGCATGTTCACATGAAGGAGCCTGAAGCAAAAGATTGCAAATAAACAATTTATAAAAAATAATCTTAACTACACAAGACATTAAAGATGTAATTCTTAAAAGTTTAATCATCCTGAAAATAAAACCAGCGTTGAATGTAATGAAACGCCATTTTCTAGGTGAGCCCAGGAGGCTCCGCGGCCCGGAGGCAGTATAAGGATTTATAGTATTAAAAGGCTTTCTCAGGTCAATGAAGAAGCCAATTGGGAAATCATTTTTGTTGAAGGCTGTGTTGATTATATCAAGCAGACTAATACTGTAATGGCATCATTAGTACTATTTTTGAGAATGGAAGCCAAACTGGCTATGACTTAATATGTTGAATTTTACAAGATAGTAAGTGGAGCTGTTTGTAAACAATTTTTCAAACATTTTTGAAAGATTCGGTAGGTTAGATATTGGTCTAATTGTTTATGTTAGCTGTATTGCCTCCTTTATGAACTGGAGTTACTCTTGCTTTTCTAAGGATATCAAGAAAAGTATGACACTCGAGATTTGTTGAATAGCAGAGCAATGAGTGGTGCAAGGGCATGAGCAGTACTCTTATCTACACTATCATAGTTGGTATTTCACTAATGTCCCCAGGTTTGATTTTAAACAAGTGAATTATGGATATAATGTCAGTCGAACTGATTGGTAAAAGGAGTAGTGTGTTTGGATAGCTGACGGTGAGATATGTAGCGACACGTGTCTGGGTCTCTGGGATTTATCTGGCAAGGTTAACACCAATTGATGAAAAGAAGCTATTAAATTCAATTGTCGTTTCTAAGTCTGTTGCAAGTGTGTTACCATCCTTGGAGATTAATCATCTTATTATGTAATTGTTGTTTAGATCCTAGGATGTTAGAGACAGTTTCCCGCATACTTTTCATGTTTCCTTTTGCTTTTCTTAATCTATTTTCATAAAATGAAAGTTTAGCTCTTCCTATTATAGTGGTAAGTGTTTTTGAGTATGTTTTAACTAGATCTTTTGTAACTAGGCCAATCCTAAGTTTTTTCCATATTTGTACTCACCTAATATAGGTGAGTACATATAGGTTGTGTTTCTTGTTAATTGCGTTAAGAAGACAAGTGGCACACATAAAGCGGCCCAAAACAACAAAATTTACCTGGAGAGGATCTTGCAGAACTTCAGAGCAAATAGGACAGAGCAGCTCCTCATCCACCTCCCCCTGGAACCTCGTCAGGTCAAAACCCATAACATAAAAATCTGAAAAAATTGTATACTGAATTAAAAACATAACATATTGTGAAGTACTGAAGTGAAGTTTCTGAAAGTATTCAATAGATGCATATTGGTGGCTTTATATGTTTGTATGTTCCTTTACTACCTTTGCAGGAACAAAATATTATATTGATGACCAGACCACACACTAGAAGGTGAAGGGACGACGACGTTTCGGTCCGTCCTGGACCAATCTCAAGTCAATTGTGCGACTTTAGCCACGTTATTGTGACTCATCGCCTGCAAAATAGTATATCTTATTTTCATATGATAAGGGTTAGGGCAAGATACAATAAGTCAGGATAGATAGAATAAGATTGGTTAGCTTTGTAAAAATAGCAATGATGGGGATTAGTTACTCCTGTATTCTGATTATTCTTGTAAGGGAATACTGGAGTTGACTTAGAGAGGAAAGGACCATCTTGGGAGTGATACAAAGACAGGAAAATGATCCATAGGATGCTAGACTATATTGCATATAGGATAATGACACAGCGTTAAGCAACTCTGCAGAGATCATATTCATATCCAGTATCCAAATGGACTCCAAACATGTCGAGAACCCTTAGAAGAGCCAAGGTATTGTACAGGTGACTTCAATACAGTACATCTTGTAATGCCACTCACAAGACGGGTATGAGGTGCGTAACAAATGAACTAGAGATGCAATGGCTCACAGAGAGAGAGAGAGAGAGTTATCTTGAGATGATTTTTGATTTATGAGGAGATTTTGTGGAGAGATAGGGAGAGAGGGGGAGGCGTGGGTGTGCACCAGCAGCACGACCTCACACCACCTTCACCGGCCATATACACGCCTCCACTGTACAGTGTACAGTGACTGTGGCTGCTAGAGGAGCCGTACAGGGTGGCCCAGGTACTGACCAGAGTGGTGGAGGGAGGTGTGGGGGTCAAGAAGCCTGGAGGAGCGAGGTGGTCATGTCTGGCCCCGCCGCCGCCGCTGCCTGTTTACCAACAAACTCCTCCACCACCAGCGGCCCGGGGCGCCGCCCCCCACCCTCACCCCCTCCCTCCTCCTCCTCCCATCTCTTGGACGGCCCCCCACACCCGCCCCCCACGCCTCCGCCTCCTCTATCTCCTATATCACCTTCCACCTATTATTCATCCCAATAAGTTATATATTACATATATATTGAGGGACCTTGAAGAGGGGCAGACAGGGTACGAGGCACAGCGTACACAAGACGATTCGCCAACGGATTTTTGAAAGTTAGCTAACATAAACTAGCTCAACCTATTATAACCTAACATACCCAAGTTAACCCAGCTCAACCTAACCCAACTCAACCTAACCTGACCCAACCAGGCTAAATACAGTCTAAGCTAAGCTAGTACATCCTAGCATAGCAGTATACACAGCTTCAACACACAGAAAACGAGCTTCGCCGAATCGTCTCGTGTCCAAAACGACCATACCCCGGAGAGACCGGAAGCCGGCGGCTTGTCGATGGTCTCCTCGGCCCCCCCCCGCCCATTGTTCCTTGGAATATTTCACAGCTGGATTTTGAAATGAAGTGCTTTTTTTTTTTTTTTTTTTTTTTAGATATATACAAGAGTTGTTACATTCTTGTACAGCCACTAGTACGCGTAGCGTTTCGGGCAGGTCCCTGGAATACGATCCCCTGCCGCGAAGAATCGTTTTTTCATCCAAGTACACATTTTACTGTTGCGTTAAACAGAGGCTACAGTTAAGGAATTGCGCCCAGTAAATCCTCCCCGGCCAGGATACGAACCCATGACATAGCGCTCGCGGAACGCCAGGCGAGTGTCTTACCACTACACCACGGAGACTGAATAAAGACTTTGACTGACGGAGACAGTAATAAAGACGGAGACTTTGGAAATATTCCTAATCTCACAGGATGGTTAGTCATACATGGAATCAGGAGAGAACCTGACATGCGAGGCTGATCTATTAGCCTTCACTAGATAATAACACATCGCTGTGTACACCTAAGCTTGTTAATAATAAAAAGGAGAACCTAGGCACGTTAGTCACCGCAAGATGTAGCAGTATATTATTGCTTTATAATGTGCAAATATGCTACCATGTAATCGCTTTACGTACATTGTATGAATAAAATATAATAATATTAATAATAATAATAATAATAATAATAATAATAATAATAACCATAATATTAATAATAACAATTAATAATAACCTAAAACACCATTTAAACTCGTATCCTCAATAATAATATTTAGTATCGTAACCCATATTATAGTTTAGGGTATTACATTAGATTAAGACGCTACTATCGCCTAAATTTCGTAGTTTTATGAGGATCCAAAAAAATAAAAAAATAAAATATCTGAAAGAGCAGCAATTTCTTGCATGTAATACTACTTTCTTCAGGTAAATATAAGAGAAAAGCATTAAGAAGGGCGGCGCCTGGGAGATGTACCGCACAGAACTAAGGCCACCACCGCTGACGGGGCCGCCTCCCTCTCACTCCACCTGTCTATTACAATATACATTTGTGACTAAACATTCTTTTTGTTCCGTCCAGTATGGTGTACTTAGAAGCATACGAGGACTTTGAGAAGGCAGCAGAGCGTCTGTACCTCAGCGCCCCCAATAAGGTAAGCTGAGAGCGGTGCCCACCTAACTTTCCTATTTGTTTATTTTTTTCAGCTTTTGTCCTGTTTATATATTATATATACAAGAGTTGTTATATTCTTGTACAGCCACTAGCACGTGTAGCATTTCGGGCAAGTCCTTAATCATAATTTTCACACACACACACATCCCCAGGAAGCAGCCCGTAACAGCAGTCTAACTCACAGGTACCTATTTACTGCTAGGTGAACAGGTGCATCAGGGTGAACGAAACTGCCCATTTGTTTCCGCCTCCGCTGGGGATCGAACCCGAAACCTCAGGACTACGAATCTGAAGCGCTGTCCACCGAGCTGTCGGGCGCCCTAATATCAAAGGCTGTTCAGCATGCTTCCATTACACACAAGGGGCATAACTGGCTGTCCTCTCAGTGTTCAAAGGAGAACTCGACAAACACCTCCAAAAGCTACCTGATCAACCAGCTTGCGAGCAGCTGCGTTCAACAGCCTGATTGACCAGCCAGCCAACCAGGAGGTCAGGTCAGACTGGCTCGTGGGGAAGTTGAACCTCGGAATCATATGTTTATACTGTACACTGTTTATACACGTTGATATATTTAACACTTTATTAATATCCCCTTTATTACAGCCTTTCATCTAGTTGTATACTTACAATTTTGTCATTCCCTGCTTTACAAAAAAATGCTAAGTTTTCAGGCCAGTTGCAGAGGTTAGGTTAAAATATTAACATCCTGTAACCCGATAGTACAATGTCAGTTACCCGTTTTGCTTCTTTTAAAATACTGTAGGGCAGTGGTGAACCTTTGTGAACAGTAATATTTTGTTCTGACCATTTCAGAGTAGATCATAACAGATTTTGCAGTGATTACTCATGAATAATTTAAGAATCTTCTGAATGACAAATGAGTGTTCAAGGGTTGTGGGTACATTAAATATAATTTACTTTCATTTGGTACTGTGCGGTATTTAACAGTACAGGATTGAGTATTACTGTGCTGCTAGTGATAATATAACACAATTTGAATTATATTATCCTGTACATAAGTGCAGCATCATTGCCTTTGTTCATTTTAAAGCATCCACAAACCTTAGGTTACATCTGTTCATTATTTAAATAGTTTCCCCAGTTGCTCACTTTCTCTGATGTGGTTTGTAGTCAATATGTAAAATACTTTTGCAGACTGGTGATTAGCAGCGATTGCACACAGATCTTAATGGTTCACCCCTTTTCATCTAGTAATAATTGGAGAAAAAGTTGTAAACCAATTGGAAGATTGCATTCCAGGGATAGCTTTAATGGCATAAGGCTATGGTGTGATGTTTGAGACGGAATATTTCAAAACTGGCTAACAAGAATTGGAAGTTATCTTCTATGCCCCTGTGTGTTAAAAAAAAAATATATACTTCTACCACACACTTCATTCCATTAGCCTAAGTCAGTTTTTATAGTATAATGTAGGATGTCACATTTATTAGCAACCAGTGTATTTACCCATGCAATTATTTGATGTGTAAAGAAATGTTGTACTGCATGTCAAGTGATGCTTTCTCTCTCTGCAGACTCGTTGTGTAATGAAGTACAATCATAGCAACAGCTGCCTCAAGGTGAAGGTTACAGATGATACTGTGGTAAGTACAGTAGTCCAATATTAAACAATGTATTATATAAACAACATACTGTGCATGTACTGTATAAACAACATACTGTGCATGTACTGTATAAACAATATACTGTGCATGTACTGTATAAACAATATACTGTGCATGTACTGTATAAACAATATACTGTGCATGTACTGTATAAACAATATACTGTGCATGTACTGTATAAACAATATACTGTGCACAAGTGTGTGTGTGTGTATATAAAATTATATATAATATAATATATATATATATTTATATATATAATATTAGTATATTTTGGTAGCAGTCTTTCTTGTAAACATATATTATTAAATATGACCGAAAAAGAAAGATTAATAATTCTAACACGAATTTTCTCAATATTTCTTATGTTTCTTTTCACTGTCGATGATAATTGAAAAATCAATTCTCCAAAATTGATTTTTATTTCTAGTCTGACGCGACACTTGAACGTGTTTCATAATAACTTATTACATTTTCAGAGACTTTAGTTTACACACACACAACTATAACCTGTAAACACTAAACAGAGTTCTATGCTATCATTTAAACGGCTTTCATCTTATATACCTGCATTTGGGTGAGGTGATATGTTACAACAGTTTTGGATGAGGGGAACAAAACTTTCAACACAAGATAGAATACGAAACAATGGGTATAAATTGGGTAAATTAAAGGGAAGGATGGAAGTAACTGCAATGGGCTTATTGGCCCATATTTCTTGATGTTTCTATATTGGTGTGGAGTCTTGAAGTGGGTAGAATATAGTTGTGCATTAATGCACAAACTATAACCTGTAAACAAAGAATTGATAGAAATGTAGAACTTATATATATATATATATATATATATATATATACCTTTGTGTAGACTGCAGTGTGGAAACCTCCGCCCTTTTCCATGACTGTTACAACTAGAAAAGGCAGCTTCCCATCCTTTTCCGTCTCGTAAGTGAAACGCAGCACGGAACTCTGCTCAAATGCCTCCTTCAGCTCCTGCAGATGTCTGACATCAGGTACCTGTGTAAAAATGTCGTCAACATACCTGCAGTATATGGCCGGTTTCAAGTTCATGTCGACTAAGACTTTTTGCTCGATGGTACCCATGTAGAAGTTTGCAAACAGGACACCTAGGGGAGAACCCATAGCGACCCCATCTACTTGCTTATACATGTGCCCATCCGGGCTCAAGAAGGGTGCCTCTTTAGTACAAGCTTGGAGTAGTTTCCTCAGAAAGTATTCTGAGGAAACTACTCCAAGCTTGTACTAAAGAGGCACCCTTCTTGAGCCCGGATGGGCACATGTATAAGCAAGTAGATGGGGTCGCTATGGGTTCTCCCCTAGGTGTCCTGTTTGCAAACTTCTACATGGGTACCATCGAGCAAAAAGTCTTAGTCGACATGAACTTGAAACCGGCCATATACTGCAGGTATGTTGACGACATTTTTACACAGGTACCTGATGTCAGACATCTGCAGGAGCTGAAGGAGGCATTTGAGCAGAGTTCCGTGCTGCGTTTCACTTACGAGACGGAAAAGGATGGGAAGCTGCCTTTTCTAGATGTAACAGTCATGGAAAAGGGCGGAGGTTTCCACACTGCAGTCTACACAAAGGAAACAAACATAGGAATGTGCCTAAATGCCAACAGCGACTGCCCTGACAGGTACAAGAGGAGTGTTGTTAACGCATACGTCGACCGTGCTCTCAGCCACAGCTCAGAATGGAAGCAAGTCGACGAAGAACTCTGTAGGGTAAGGCAGGTTCTAGTCAATAACGGCTTCTCCAATGGTTTCATCGAAGACATCATAAGAAGGAAAGTGAAAAGCCATGCAACCTCCGAAGAGACAACTAACACAACACCTATACCCCCTATTAGACTATTTTACAGGAACTTCTTTTCCACAGCTCATAAAACAGAGGAAAGGGTCCTGAAAGATATTGTTAATAGAAACGTTATCCCTACAGACAAAAATCAGAGGATACAACTGACGATTTACTATAAAACCAGAAAAACGGCCAGCCTACTCATGAGAAACTCTCCAGACACGAAACAGAACGCTTTAAAAGAGACTAACGTCGTCTATGCCTTCAAATGCCCACTTGGGGACTGTAAGCTCCAAAAAACCCAGTATATAGGCAAGACAACAACATCTCTTTCTAGGCGTTTAACGATGCATAAACAACAGGGCTCCATTAAGGAACATATAATCTCTTCCCATAACCAAACCATCGCCAGAGAAATCCTAGTAAACAACACAGAAATCATCGATAGATACAGCGATAGCAGGCGGCTCGACGTTTGCGAGGCACTACACATCAAGAAGTCAACACCAGCAATCAACAGCCAATTATTGCACAACGTCGTACCTAGTAGCCAGAACGCACTTTTATGCCCACTATGCAAGGCCCGATTTGCCTAATAAGCCGAGTTTTCAAGAATTAATTGTTTTTCGACTACCTAACCTACCTAACCTAACCTAACCTAACTTTTTCGGCTTCCTAACCTAACCTAACCTATAAAGATAGGTTAGGTTAGGTTAGGTAGGGTTGGTTAGGTTCGGTCATATATCTACGTTAATTTTAACTCCAATAAAAAAAAATTAACCTCAGACATAATGAAATGGGTAGCTTTATCATTTCATAAGAAAAAAATTAGAGAAAATATATTAATTCTTGAAAACTTGGCTTATTAGGCAAATCGGGCCTTGCATAGTAGGCTGAGAAGTGCGTTCTGGCTACTAGGTACGACATATATATATATATATATTGTCTACCACTCTGTTTGCAAAAGAAAACTTTCTAATATATTTTGAGCACTTTTGTTTCCTTAGCTTGAAATTGTGTCCTCTTGTTCTTGAAGTTGTTGGTTTCAGGAATTCCTCTTTGTCAATTTGGTTGATTCCTGATTAGTATTTTGTAAGTGGTAATCATATTACCTCTTTTTCTTATATTTTCTAGTTTTGGCATGTTTAACACCTCTAGTCTCTCCTCATAACTCTTATTTTTCAGTTCTGGAAGTCATTTTGTAGCATGCCTCTGCACCTTTTCCAGTTTATTTATGTGCTTCTTGAGATATGGGCACCATACAACTGCTGCATACTCCAGCTTTGGTCTCACAAAAGTCATGAACAGTTTCTTTAGTATTTCACCATCCATATAATTAAAAGCTCATAAAGCATGCTGGGTGTATGCTTTAAGTGGGAAAATCATTCAGGGAAGGAATTCCACTCAAAGTTGAAAGGTAAATGGCAGGAATACAGAGGATGTATTCAAATGCCTTTCAGATCTACATTTTTTACACTAAGTGAATAAAAGAAAGTACATCTGCAGGAGCTGAAGGAGGCATTTGAGCAGAGTTCCGTGCTGCGTTTCACTTACGAGACGGAAAAGGATGGGAAGCTGCCTTTTCTAGATGTAACAGTCATGGAAAAGGGCGGAGGTTTCCACACTGCAGTCTACACAAAGGAAACAAACATAGGAATGTGCCTAAATGCCAACAGCGACTGCCCTGACAGGTACAAGAGGAGTGTTGTTAACGCATACGTCGACCGTGCTCTCAGCCACAGCTCAGAATGGAAGCAAGTCGACGAAGAACTCTGTAGGGTAAGGCAGGTTCTAGTCAATAACGGCTTCTCCAATGGTTTCATCGAAGACATCATAAGAAGGAAAGTGAAAAGCCATGCAACCTCCGAAGAGACAACTAACACAACACCTATACCCCCTATTAGACTATTTTACAGGAACTTCTTTTCCACAGCTCATAAAACAGAGGAAAGGGTCCTGAAAGATATTGTTAATAGAAACGTTATCCCTACAGACAATATATATATATATATATATATATATATATATATATATATATATATATATATATATATATATATATAATATTATTTATTTTTGTTTGTATTTATTTTTATTTATTACATTGTACTGTATTTAAGTTCACCTCTGGGACTGTAAGCTCAGAATGTTAGGGAAATGTATGCCAGGAACTAGCCATAACTCTTTAGCTGTATTACAGTACATCATAATGTAAAATAAAACGGTTGCAAACTAATAAATTACTACAAATATAAAATTGATGAATGCAGAGTATAAAATATTTAAAACTTTGTTGTAATTTTAACAATTTGCATATACATGTACTGTAATCTAAATTTGACTGTACTGTATATTAGAAACACACTGCCTTGTTTGTAAGTTATTTAATTTAAGTTCTTCACTTAAGGTTAATCACCTAAGTGTAATTACAGGATGAGAGCTATGCTCGTGGTGTCTCGTCTTCCCAGTACTCTTTGTCATATAACGCTTTGAAACTACTGACGGTTTTGGCCTCCACCATCTTCTCACTTAACTTGTTCCAACTGTCTACCACTCTGTTTGCAAAAGAAAACTTTCTAATATATTTTGAGCACTTTTGTTTCCTTAGCTTGAAATTGTGTCCTCTTGTTCTTGAAGTTGTTGGTTTCAGGAATTCCTCTTTGTCAATTTGGTTGATTCCTGATTAGTATTTTGTAAGTGGTAATCATATTACCTCTTTTTCTTATATTTTCTAGTTTTGGCATGTTTAACACCTCTAGTCTCTCCTCATAACTCTTATTTTTCAGTTCTGGAAGTCATTTTGTAGCATGCCTCTGCACCTTTTCCAGTTTATTTATGTGCTTCTTGAGATATGGGCACCATACAACTGCTGCATACTCCAGCTTTGGTCTCACAAAAGTCATGAACAGTTTCTTTAGTATTTCACCATCCATATAATTAAAAGCTCATAAAGCATGCTGGGTGTATGCTTTAAGTGGGAAAATCATTCAGGGAAGGAATTCCACTCAAAGTTGAAAGGTAAATGGCAGGAATACAGAGGATGTATTCAAATGCCTTTCAGATCTACATTTTTTACACTAAGTGAATAAAAGAAAGTATTGGTGTTGAATGATGAAGGCATTGACCACCAGCCATAGGAGTGGATTGTATCTTATGGTTTTCTATTGTTGGGGACAGGAAGCCTGTTAAGCTTATAAAGTTTCCCCTTGGTCATCTAGAACTGATTTTCTAGGATGCAAATCTCATCAGTTGCTTAACTCATGGGTACTATTTATTGTGAGGTGAACAGACATATCTGGTGAAAGAAAACATAATAACAAAGTCTTGATAATAAAGAATGTGAATTATGACTTTTAATGAAATGTAGAACTGAGCAATGTTAGTAATTCAACAGTACAATACTGTGATGTTAAGAAGTGCCTAACTGTCTCACTGTAGTAGTACCCACATTCTACTTATTTTTCCACGTGCTTTAATTACAGTATTTAAATATTTGTTTATTAACTCCTTCCATATAAAATTATGTAATGTAATTATAAGTTATAGTTAGCTTCAAGACTTGCCCAAAATTGTGCTTACCGATGGGCGACTGAGGAAGACTTTATACCTTGCACAATAAATGCATCACTTGACATTTGTACATATTTTCTGGAAATTGACTAGAAATGGCTTTGACAATTACTTCCTTCAAAGCATTCCACTTGCTGACCACCCATCGAGAGGTATAAAAACTTTCCTTGCATCTCTATGACTCGATTGCGTAGCCAGGATTCTAAATTAATGATTTCAAGTTCTAAATGTAATTCTTATGTTGGCCAGCCTAGTATATGCAATTAGTGATATTCATGTAATGAAGGCCTCGAGAGACTGATTTGATATATCAGTACCCAGGTTCAGTTCCAGGATGGTTTCATCTCCCGTTTGTTACTGTTTGACCTGTTGCCAAGCAGGGTGCTGGCAAAACAGGCCTGTAAATGTAGATTTATACCAAAACAGGGCAAAACAACTAAAGAAAGTATAGAGGAGATAGACAATTACTTTAAAGCCATTCTAAACTTCATGGATGAAGAGACTCGGCAGCAAAGGGTCTCGTAGTACAGTTGGCTTCATTCTCGACGTGCAGTTGGGGATGGATACCTGGTCAGGACAAAAAAAGGTTGGGCACATTTCCTTTCACCTAGCAGCAAATAAGTACCCCAGGAGTTAGGTAACTTGTTGGGTGCATCCTGGTTAGGGTCAGTAGTTAATCTTTAGTGGGGGCCTCAAAATATAAGGCTAAAGTATATAAAACAAATTATTACACCAAAACTTCCTCTTCACTAATACCACCACCACATTTGCCTGGACATTCTAAGTCTATACATGGAGGACTACCTGTATCCTTGGTGAGTACAGGTACCATTATACTGTACATATATTGTACAGTCGTTCACTGTGTAAAATCCTGTCTTTGTAGTTTTATTAAATAATCTATACTAGAATTTAGTACAATATCGAAATATAATTTTGCACAAATATTTTTCATGGGTGGGAGGGTACATCTGTATTGAATGTATGAACCATTTGAATTGTACATTCGCATTTGATTCAAAGCTGGTAAAAGATGTTTTCAAAGAATACATGGACCCATCTTCTGTTATCTTTAGGACTCTTGATAATGACTAGCACTGGGAGGCTACTTCAATCAGCTGTTAAGAAAGCACATGGAATACAGTAACAACAGGGGAACTGGATGCATAAAATTTTGTACATTGCTGTCCACAATTTGTTTCATAGGCAAAGAAACAAATAATAATGCAAAAAAAAAAAAAAAAAGAAACTATGTACTCGATTAGATGTTGTCCATATCTTAATATTAAATGTCATTTTATTGTTACAGTATTTATTTTGCCAATAAGAAACTGTAAAACTGTATACTTTCATGCAAAGTTCATATTGGCATGTACACTATTGTCATTATTACATATAACTTAACAGAAGGATGGGATGGGTTATTATAACACATTGTATGAGTTCTGCTCCATAATTTTGGGTAAGTTGGTTCATTGTCTGACCCTAGGTTATACTGTACTTGCATGGCATTTGTGGCCCAGAAAGGCAGGATTACATAATTGCACCGCCAAAATCCCCCATACCAGGCAGAGGTTAGCTTCCCATGGAAGAGTAGAAAATGCAACGCATCCTCCGATTAGACAGTACGTTTTAATACTGAATATAAGTACATTCCTTACTGTCTGCATAGTACTGTACATAAATATAATTAATTGTGCTGTTACATTTACCTCCTCATATATTCTCATTTTCTGTTAAGACACTCATAATTTTAGGATGAAGTTTTCATGTTCAATTCTATATACAGTATACTAAAGTTTTAAATATAAAGAATTTCTTTTTCAGTTCTATTAAACAATAGAGATTTTATACAAAATTTGAAAATAGCCTGAGTTACTTTATAATTTATTGAGGCTTTAGTTTTGTTTTATTAGCTTTATAAAATTTTAATATCAATATAGCTATTGTTTAAGTACTAATTGTAATTAAGAAGCAATAAAATGCTTGTTCTCCTTCACTAAGAAGGTTAGGTTTGGTCGTGGGTTTCTATACAGCTTTTCAGGTAAACTCTAATATTCACAATATTTTGGTGCGATTCTGGCGATTGAGTGTATTTATGTACTGTACTAAGCTGGTAGTCAGGATTGTACTTATTGAATTTAGTATTAAAATGTACTGTCTATTCAGAGGAGGGGGTGGAAAATGGTATTTATTACCATGCTGAATTATAACTTGTATATAAACCTTTTTGGTTTCACTATAGGGTGAAAAAGGTTAATTAACAACTGATGTAGTTAGTACCTTTGATACTTTTTTTTTTTTTCCAGTGTGTTCAGTACCAAACTGACAGCCAACAAGAACTTAAGAAACTGGAGAAGTTGATAAGTAACTTAATGAAGCATATGGCATCGGGTGAAAGATAACTTTATCCTTTCATAACTTTAAATTTCACTACTGTATTCCTTATGATTTATTCTTTGTTGGATAATAAACTTCTTTAATATTCTTTTTCTGGTTTTATTTAATCATACGATTGAAAATTTAATGCACTTCTTGTAAACGTGTAGCCTATTTACTGTGTTTTAAAACAGATGTGGGTTGTTCGGTTATTGTAGCAAGTCGACAGTTTCCTTAACTGTATGAGCTCTTTAATACTAATGGTCACTACTAAGCCACACAAATCACTGGAACATTAGCTTCAACTTTTAACTGCGGGAAAAACAATCGTCCCTTTAACCACTAAACTACCAGTCCGTCCTCATAAACAAAGGCCGAAGTCTATTTCATGCACCTGCCAAACCCCGTTTATGAATATAAAAACGGTTTATACGCGACTGTCAACTGATGACTTTCGAATACTTCTCGAACAAGTACTTCGCTGACGACTTTTGTTCGAACCACAAAGCTGTAAATGCTTCACCCATATACTAAAAATAATCAATAGAATCTAAATGCCTAACCTAATCAATGCCTAAATATGCACAGTATACTAATGTATAACAATATTAAATTATATTTGAGAATTCTAGTTTTGAATGAACAGCATGTTAAAATTGATGAATGTGTCCTTAGGGTCCACCGCTGGATGGAATGGACATGGTCTGAGAACTGGTTCAAACTGTGGATGGGTCGTGCAATTTTTTTTTAAATTTAGCAGTATTTTTAATGTTTTGATATTTTCACTTTGTGATTTGACATGAAAATTGTTGTTTGACAACATTTTGACATTTCTTGCTTTACCAAACATTTTAAAAAATGTTAATGCTGTAATCCATTAACAACTGCACCACGAAGTTGTCACATGAAACGGTTGTGAAGTGCAGCGAATAATTTAGATATACAGCACTATAATTGCCAATTAGGAGATAGAAAGGTTATAAGTTGCCTGAATTGTTAGAAATCAATCATTAAATGTAATGAAATGCCTCTTTTTGATGGGTCCCTGGTGCTAGCTACCCAGATAGCTCCATCCAGTTCAATCCATGTCAGGCCCTTGTGGGTCACTGTAAGCCTACCAGAGGCCAAAACTTGGCTCCTCAAAAGATGTATGCCTGTAATGTACATCCTTGTGCTGTTTACCAGGTCTGTCTTGAAGCTCCTCATTGCAACTTTAAATCACTTCTGCCAGGTATACGTTATGCAGTTTGTGAATTCTGGCATATTTAAATACTTTTGAACATCTAGTGCTGTAGTTTATATTGGCTTGATACTTTCTCCTTGTAATTAATTTATCTTTTCTACATCTAAATGTGCTGAATTAAGACTTTGCATATTGAGATTCGATTCCCATTCATTATTGGTTAATATGAAATGTGGCAGGAGAGGTGCCGGCCACATGAAGGGTTTCCTTCAGACATAGTCATCGAGTGTCACATGAAGTACATTAAACATTGTTGTAAAGGTTAATAATATGCTGTATACCCAATAATATTTATTAATTTGATTAGTAGAACAGGATGAAATGTAAATTCAACACAGAAGCAAGTTATACAGTAGCGTAAATAAGGCAGTTCAATGGTACTCCGTACCTGGAGGGATCTGCCGCTTGTTATAAACTAGAGACTAACTTATTGCCTTATAGGATGTTTATACATGCCTCCTCCCAGTCATCATTAAGTGTTTCACAAGCCTCCTTTGCAGAGAATCTTTGCTATGGACACCATGCTGTAGTTTAGTTTCTTGTTTCTAATTTCTTGTACTGTATACTGCACCACATTACCTATTTTCCAACAGGGTACATTTGTAAATCAAAAAGTATACGGAGGCATTTTTGTATGTTTATTATTTTGTGCAACATTGCTTAGAGTACAGCATAAAACCTTACTTTAACATTAAAGTCCTCTATCATAACAATCAAATCCCTACTGAAACATTAAAAGTGAAAATATAATTTGATTTAGAGTAATGATTTTAGACATTTAGATATTTATATTTACTTGGGAAAGAATGATTCTCCAAAACAATATTTACAACCATGAATCATTTTAAAGCAGTTTTTTTTTTTTTTTTTTTTTTTTTTTTAACATTTGAGGTCTACACTGTTTATAGTATTTTAGTGTTTTACACTTTATAAAACTTTAAGACAATAACTCTAGAAAAAATTTTGTAACCTAGTTCTTAAAGTTTACTAGGCAATGGTTTTGTTGGGTCTTCGTCGTTATTCTCAGTGAGGAGGTCGGAGAAATCATCAAAGGCTGCCTGAAGGACCTCCTCCACTGTGTTAACCAGCACCACTTCTATTTCATCCTGTTGGTGACAAAACAAATAATTTGTAACATTTCCAAATCCTCTAAGTTAGAGTATTTTAAGTATACATAATTTGTGTATTTCTGTATTAAAGACAACAAGAATCTCAAGAAAGACACCAAGAATTAAGCAGCTATGTAATAAGTTTAACTGTTAAGTGTCCTTCAACACAAGTCCTCTCCTCCACACACTCGGCATCAATGCACACGTTATAAAGCTAAATAACAACCATTTATCTATTCTAGTTCTGACATTCTTAATACTCGTGTCTTCCTACATCCCGACAAATTGATTTTGCCCGGCAATAACGACAACACCCACATGTTCCTTTGACTGCTGCTCTATCTCGCCTACCCTCATCCTCTTCCCCTCATTTCTCCCCCCCCCCCAAGTGTAGAGAGATCTGGTGAAATCGCATACTGGAAGTTAGTATAAAATCGTTGGTCCTGGAGCACATCAATGAAATGAATTTAAATTAAATATTTAGCAAAATAGAGTAATTAGACGAGACACAGGATAGTCAACTGGTAGTCGACTCTTCTGCCAATTGTCATTTACACTACCCATCTTTCTAATATTCACACTTCTCTCAACAACAGTGGTATTCATTCATTTAACATCTATCTCCATAATAATATATCTGGATTATCAACTTAAGACATCTGCAGCTTAATTTGTTTTTTTGCTTTTCACTAATTTTCACATTTATATTTCATTCATCCAGAATGTTTTCAGTGAAGTTATTAGAGAATAAATTAAGTACAAATCCTATCAATGGTCACATCATTCTTTGCTTGAGTGCTGAATATCTGATGCAAGATCCATAACTAACTCTTTAATACAAACTATAATAGCTATTTGATTATTCAACTCCATATATTGACTACTATCTTTTAAAACAAATAATTTAAGAAATTTGATGTATATAAAGCTCTCAAAACTTTCCTTTACAAATTATTTTGTTACATTATTATCTATATACTTTCTCAAAATGACTAAAATAGGATGAAATTAAAGGCAGTGTAAATTGAAAGTTGTGCATTAATAAATACTTACCAACACCGAGGCTTGGATATCTGCAAGGTCTTTCTTATTGGCTGCTGGAATAATGACTGTGGTCAGCCCTGCCCGGTGTGCTGCCATTAACTTCTCCTTTATGCCACCAACCTGTAAGTTCCTTTTATTAGCAACTAAATATAGATAGATTGCGCAAGACACTCCTAATGCACTCCTCACAATATTCTACCAACTCAACTTTTAATCAGTAGTTTCAGTAATCTGAAATGTCCTACTTTACCTGGCATTGTTAAACTACAGCCCAATATAACATTGTTTCTGCATTGGATCAGTTCATTTGATGTACTGAAATTATACAGTGATCCCCATGGATTTCTCTCAATATTTGATGCTTCTCCAATTTACAGTGCAACCTTGATTTTACAAACTATACAGGAACAACCCCCAATTAGTTGCAACCAGAGATGCTTTTAGAAGGCATTTGTATCATGCATCAAGATGAACAATGCATTGCTATTAATATTTCTCAATGTTTTATTCATCAATTAAGTTTTTCAAAATATGGCTGGAGCCATATTAAAAGTTTACCATTCATAAACTATGCTCCTTTCTCATGCCCTATGGGCTAATTTCACTTGGCGAAATTTCAATATCGACTTGTGACGGACGATTACCAGATCTTAACTGTAGAGATTTCTCTCTTAGTGCTAGAATTTTAAAGGCAAGGCCATGGCCCCAAAATAGTGTAAATAAACAAGGACCAACTTTCTCAGGTCGGCGAACTCTGACCTGTGGAAACTCTGGCCAGTAAACCCAGCCTGAAAAGTATGTTGCAACCATAGATTTGGCAAGTAAATTCTGTGCTGTATGTATTTAAATTTCTGCTAGAGCATCATACAAGTACCTGCTTCTCTATCTGCCTCAGTGGCTGTAATAATAATTAGACTAAACAGACTGAAGCACGGTGAGTTAGTGAGCAATATTGACATGTAGAATTAGACCCTTTATAGTCATAGGTGCAGTATAGCCTGGGCTTGGTACTTTACTGTGCAAGTAAACTTGAAGTAACATGTAACCATCTTAACCAGACGCATGTCACTGCCTTGCCACGTGTATTTTGTGTAAGTGTAAGACATAGCTTACACTTCAGTTTTTTTTATATATTACTCATAATTAAAAAGTTTCAGACTACTTGTACATGGAGAACTACAGACAACTTGAGACATCTGTCATTGCAGGAACTACAAATCATTGGGTTATACAAAAAGTATTTTCTCCATCTTAACCATTATGAAGAGCCCCTGACCAACCGATCATAAAAATTCTAATACTGTACTAATAAATACTAATAATGCTAATACTAATAATTCTAATCCAAGGAAAATGTGAAATGTAAGTTTAGTAAACTGAAGACTCGGTTAAAAGGAAATCATTTTGAAACTATACAAATATCTGCTATTTAATTTACACCACTTGTGTTACACATGTATATGGTTATCTTCTATAATACTGTATTAATGATATACCTACTGGCATACTGTAAATACTAATATTCAAGTGATATTACTATAATGTATAGCAGGAATGAAGTGCAATGTTTTACCCAGAAATAAAACTCCAGCCATCTAGAAATAATATGACTATTTACAGTACACGAGGATCTAATGCTTTGCAAACTTTACCTTGCTTGAGTATGATTACCTAAATCTCAAGCTTTTGAGCTCAATATTACCAAAATATAATTGGATAAAATTGCACATTAAATATTGATTAGGAACATGTAACACTATAGTGCAACTCGACTTACTGGCAATACAACTCCATTAAGAGTGATCTCGCCAGTCATAGCCACGTTAGACCGAACACATCGGTTGGAGAGCAGCGACACTAACACAGTGAGTATCGTAACTCCAGCTGAGGGCCCATCTTTGTTAATGGCTCCGGCTGGAAAGTGCATGTGAATCTCCTCATCCTTCATAAAATCTTTGTCTAGCTCTAGCTGTAGAATATAAACAAATTAAAGCATTGTCCTGAAATCATGATTTGTAGATTTGCTAATTATTTTTAGGTATTTCAGTAAATGAAATAAACTCAGTCAAAATAAATATAAAGATAATTAATAAGCATTTTGTAGGATAACACCCTCATGAAAATTACAATCACTGTAGTTATAAAACTTAGCTCGAGATTGATGTGTGCTGTAACTAGAGGCAATATGCACAATTTTCTTCATACAGTAATTCTTGGAAATTAAAATTTTTTTTGAACTTATCCATAGCCTTAACAAATTCTAGCTGGTAAGTTACTCAAAAAATCAGGCTTAGAAGAGGGGTGTTAAATAAGAACATTATTATGAGGTCGTGATAGTACTGAACGTGAATTTTAAAGACAACAAACGAAACTGGGAGAAAGTGCACGAGAGAGTAATTTACACAAAAAAGAAGCAACTAAAAGATGATTTTTGCTGGAGAAAGACGTACCGAGTGAGAGATGTTGGAAAAAATAAAATTTCAAACGTCTGGATAATCATTCAAGTGAGGAGAGATAAATGGGTGTCGAGATATATCTGAACGAGTTACAAACGGTAAACAGACAGTAGAATCTGATGAAAAGCATACTCCACTTTAATATGGCACAGTATATTCAAGTGAAAATGGATATACAGTACTAGTATTGAACAATTAAAGGGATAAAGAATGAGAACATCAAAGTAATTTGACCATCAAGAAGAATGGAACAGGAAAAAGTAAAACATGGACTCTTACATACTGTATATTGTTTAGGCACAGGAAGGTTATATTATTGTCCCTAGACAGGAATGCTCATGTGTTACTCATGTGATCGTTCCCTAGAATGTAGTCATTCCTAAATGAGGCTAAGAACATTAAAACTATACATAAAAAAAGTTACACACAAACAATCTGTTGAAATAAATACACTGTACTGTATTTAAAAAATAATAGTATAGATACTGTATCTTCAACCTACCAGAAAAGAGTGCTGTCTGACCCACGACAAGGCAATCTTAGCCGATTCCTGCATGACAGAGCCCAGCTGGCCAGTTAGGGTGAGACCAGAATCTCCTGCAGTACGTGATGCCTCCACTACCATCACTTCACCACCAACTGGTGTCCAGGCAAGACCCACTGCTACACCAGGAACACTAACTCGTCCTGCTAACCCACTTTGAAATATGGGTGGCTGCACAAACATAAAATATTTTATCTTTATATTTCAAATTGGAAAAGTTAAGAAAATTATTGATATTTAAATCAATTACTACAGTATAATCAAATATTTTGTAATATTTTTCCTTAATTTCTATCATTATCAATTTTTGTATTTTCTTACCCCCAGAATATCATCTATCATCTTTTTGTCTATGATGACTGGTAGATCCATATGTTCCCTCAGCTGAGAAAGATTTATCAAAGGTTGTAGGGGTATCTGTTCTATTTCCTGAGGAGGCTCCACTTCATGCTTTTCATTAGTATACTCTTCCGCCATTTTGTGATTCTGATCTTCAGCTTCTGCCACTATTACATCCGATGATTTGACTTCATCTTTAGAGTTAAATTGTAAAATGTATACAAAATCATCATTAACCTATTATCAACTTTTCTTGGACAGTGAGGCATGGGAGTTGGAGGGGAGGGTAGTGGTGATAAAGAGCAGCAGCAGTAAAAGAAACAAAGATAAAGATATTAACATACTTCATTCATCTATTCCATTCACCATTTCTTACATAGTGCAAAGTATTACAGATAAACCAAACACCACAACACTTCAGGAAATTAACAGAACACATACAAATATATTTACTCCCTCTTTACAAGCCTCTTCCATACAACCATGTGCATTGGTCACACAATCTTCATTTCCAGGAATGTTCTTCCTCTCCTCTTACCCTCACATTCACTTGAATACACTCTTTACTAGTCTACCATCTTCCATTCATCCAACATGACTAAACTTTCCCGTACCCTTTCTGCAATATTGTGGTTTATCGACAATAAACCACAATATACTGTATATTGACAAACCACTCAGCATCTCTTCATAACATTTTAATTTATTAACTTTTATTCTCCTAACCCTACACAATATTCCTATATTGTCCATTTATACAGATATCTTAGATTTTTCTCATTCAGACCACTCGGTCAGCACACATCTGTATAGAAGGGTTGACCTTTCCACCCTTTGATGCAGCCCTCCAACTGTATTTCTTCTCGTCTTTGCAGCCTGGGCTCTCTACTAGCCACTTTCCTTCCCTGGCTCACCCTATATAGTACATACTTATGGTTGGGAAACACACAATTTACATGTGCAATGAGTAAACACCTAAACAAAAAGTAGGATCATACCTTGATCATGTCCTGTCTCGGCAACCTGAACAGCAATAGCTCGACACACTGCCCCAATTTTGCGCTCCAGTGTCCGCACACCAGCCTCTCGGGTGTACTCTCCAACTAAGATAGGAAACCTATCATTAACTATCAAAATGCTATCAAGGTGAATATTAGCTATGGATGAACACAGCTTTATAAAAACTTTAACAAAAAAATTATACAGTGGCGCCTCGATTAACGAGTTTAATCCGTTCCGGCACCGTGCTCATCATGTGGAAAACTCATCTTGCGAAATAACCAAAACTGTCGTCGGAGGTGTTTGAGAACCAGCAGGAATGCTCGTTAATCGAGCAAAAGCTTGTCAGTCGACACATTTTCTGCGAATGGCTTGCTAGTTACTCGAAATGCTTGTATCTGGAGCCGTTCGTCACTCGAGGTTCCACTGTATTCCGAATCTACATTATCGATAGAATTTGTTATAATTTTTGTACATTATATACTGTACATATGTGAAGCTAAAATCCAAAAACATCATTAAGGAAGTGCTTAAGAGGAATATAGAAATACGTGACTATCTCGCCAAAATCACATGACAAGACCATTTGAAAAGTTCATCACAGTAAACGAGGACCATATCCCGACAGAAACAGTATCCTGGCTCAACCCTGACCCTGGTGGCAATTGAGGGACTCCTGCTCACAAAACTTACATTCTAACATCTAGCAGAGTTTATTACTATTGCAGTAATAATAATTCTGGTTTTTGTTATCAAATCATAATTGAAGTTCAAACAGAGATTGAACATTACTTACTAATTGTTGCAATGGATTCCTTTGGTATATCAAGTATGTCTTTAGAGAGACCATGCTCCTGTAGCTGTTTGGGAAGAAGGTGCAGCTGTCCAATCATCACTTTCTCTTCCTGGAAAGTACTGTACAGATAAATAACTAAATTTTGATATATTTAAATTTGTTTTTCTAAGATGGTAAACAATCAAACATTACTCGATTTCCCAGTGTAAATAAAAACTTATTACGAAAGGTGTATATGATGGGTTTGCATTAAGAAATTGCAGGGTAATTTTAGGATAGAAACAAAATTAAAGTGTAAGCATCATAAAATTAAATTGGTAACCTTGATCTTTGTATTACCTGGACTGGATTCCTCCTCACGTTATCTAAATTAGTAAATGGTCAGTATATTTCAGGGAGACCAGGAAAAACATCTAAACAAATTATGTACAGTATATAGTCCTGTGTATTCCTGCTCGGACAAAATTAAAGGGTCCCGGTAGTACAGTCGGGTTCGTCCTGAACTCACAGTCGAGAATTCCAGGTTCGAATCCAGGGTAAGACAAATTGTCAGGCACATTTCCTATCACCTAATGCCCCAGTTTACCTAGCAGTAAGTAGGTACTCTGGAATTAGTTGGCTTGTGGGATGGCATTCTGAGTTGGGTTAGTAATTCAAACTTTTTTTGGGGGAGGGGGGGGAACCTGGATATAAGCCTAACATGTATGAATACATTTTGGCTTCCTGTTCCCTGACAATAAATTATTATTGTATTATTAACACACTATTATATATAAATATTTGAGGGAAGGGAGGGAATTCACAGGGAATTGCACCAAGCCATTACAGCTATACAGTACAACACTTGGAAGGGAGTCAGGATAAGGATTTCGGATGGAACGGGGGGAAAAGGAATGGTGCCCAACCACTTGGATGGTCGGGAATTGAACGGCGTCCTGCATGAAGCGAAACCGTCACTCTACCCTCCAGCCCAAGGACCATATTATTAAACAGAACTCATTTTTTCAAAAGCAGGATAGACTAGATTTATGTTTTTTTCTCAAAATGCAGGCAAGATAAATTAAACATTTTACACATACCCTCACTCACAAATTACTTACTATATGCTTTTAATATATTAATGTCATTGCATATATTTGTGGAGCACCAGTCACCAAGTTCTATACATCTGGATTCAATCCTAATATCGAGGGTAAAACCTGATCACAATTTTGACTCGGTGGTCCAGAGATTTGGGTTAATGAGTGGCCAGTGCACTTTAATTTAATAAAAACTTATTATAACTATAAATACAGTAGTACATACAGTACTTCATAATGCCCCAAGCTTTGTAAACAATACCTCAATGCCCCAAGCTATGTAAACAATACCGCATAATGCACCTGTAAACGATACCGCATAATGCACCTGTAAACGATACCGCATACTGCACTAATTTGTAAATACCTCATAATGCACTAAGCTTTGTAAGGTGAGGTAATCAGGAGAAAGCACTAAGCCAGTATAACTACATAGCACTAAGCTTTGTAAACATTACGAGGTAATGTACTAATCTTCATAAACAGTATCTCGCAATACAATCAGGTTTAATTATACTATCCCTACTATACCATAAAATTTGTATTCATTCTTGTACGTTGCTGAAATTCTTAATTTTTTTTCTCCAAGCCATAACTCTTATTAACAGTATACAGTACTAAGCAGAAAATGTCTACCTGTGTATACCCGGGAACGTGGATAACCTCCATGCGATCAAGTAATGCCGATGGTATTGTAGACAGGGTGTTGGCAGTAGCAACAAAGAGCACCTGCCAATAATAAAAAAAAAAATACATTTGTGTGTGTGTGAACAATACTTAAACAGAAAAATATTGAAGCCGTTTGATAAGAGTCAAACCCACATCCTTGATATTCTGTCATATACAGTACTCTATGTGATAAATGAAGCCATATCACATTCTTTGGATTTTGGTGTTCAATATTTAAACCATGTATTAAATTTGGTATCTAACAAATTCAACACAACACTCATCACATATAAACGAGTATCATTCTCTAACTTTCTCTAAACCAATATTTTAATAAGCGGCGTGCTGCTCTCGGGGAGTACTGTAGTGTGGTGGTGCTTCTTTATGCGATACAATATACAATACTGTAATGGGAATGATAGTGATAAATATATGTGTACCTCTCATTATTTTTCACTTTTATCTAGACTGATGCCTCCCTGTCCCATAAAAGTAGGTAATAATAAGACACTTCATAAATGTAATTCATATTACATAAACAGGTAAATAACAGCATCCCATTCTCCACCTTGGAGATTATATAGTATGTACTTAAAATTGTCCCACAAATACAGTACTGTACACACTTGTAGCAATTTGAATTAATTTAAGTCTTAATTAATTTGATGGCAGGACTTTTGAGAAGATTGAGAGGACTTTTGATTGAGATTTGAGAAGATCTGGTTACCCATGACTTGGCAACAGAACATCCCCCATTATGATACAATTTTCTAGCAGCATTCATCCTGCATCATAACTGGATCACAGTACTGTATGTGTCAATGATCAAGTCATCTTTCCCTCTCTCCTTCATTTTCCTTACTTGTACATTTCTTTTGTTTCGGCTTCCTTTTATATTTTCATTTGTATATTTATAGCATTGAACCCTCATTCTTTCCAGATTATATTTCAAGCAACTGAACATAGTGTATTATTGTTTCATGAAAGAAGAAATCACTGAAAGCCATCACCACACTCTTCAAATGCTCCATGGCAGCATCCTGCTACTTCATAAGACTAAGGCTACCATGTCACTCATCAGTCATCATCTACCAATGAAACACTACTGTCTCAAGTGGTACAAACTACACAAAAATTACAATTATCTTACAAAGATGTGAAACACACAGTATTAAATCCAATAATTAAGTATTTCCAAAGATGGCACAAAGTATACATAACAATATTTTCACCTGCGAGAGATCAAAAGGCAGGTTGAGGTAAGTATCTGTGAAAGTAGAATTTTGTTCAGGATCAAGAACTTCCAGCAGGGCAGCTCCTGGATCACCATGGATACCTGTACCCAGCTTGTCTATTTCATCCAACAACATTACAGGATTCTTCACCTGTAGATATAAAGTAAATTTTGTACACGCACTAAACATTGTGAATCTGCCTATACAAATTATTTAACAGTTTACTGAATGGATAACGATACTCTTATACTGATGAGGAATAATTCACAAATTAGGCTCCAAGGTATATGAACATTACCTTAGCAGGGCAACCAAATACAGTATTTGATAAGTTAACATCTGTTGTTAATACAAGATCAAAATCATGAACACTCGGGAAGATTCTATTACCCCGCATGGCTGCAATTCATTTTCTCATTGCATATGGCGTTAACATGCTACACAATAAGCAAGAGGGTATAATAAGGATAGGCAACTATAGAAAAAGCTAAAGATAAATACTTGCCACTTAAGAGAGCTTTATAATGGCCTGGAAACACAGAAAAGACAAAAGCATAGGATTGCTATGCGACTACATAAATGATAGCAGAGGGCTCATTAAAAGAAGGTAGAAGGTTTATCAAAATCCTGAAAAGAAGAGTGAAAGCAGACCAATAAACCCAAGGTGAATGGAGGGCACCAGAAAAATGTTTAAGATTTGCTAGAGAATTCCCCATAGTTCCCAACATCTCAAAGGGAGTTCCTGGAGGGCAAGAGTTATCTCTTATACAAATACAGTAATATTATTTACTTGAATATTAAAGAAAATAGTTTTTTTTACATACTTTTACATTTCTCAAGCCCTGGATGACCCTCCCTGGCATAGCACCAATGTAAGTTCGACGATGACCTCTTATGTCATGTTGGTCACTTACTCCACCTGCAAAACACTTTCAATAATAAAAGTAAATCACTACAATTTACCTAATTGTAGTGTTAGGTACATAACTAGTACCTAATTTCATCTTCATAATGTCCTACCTTGTGCACTGCACTTTGGCTTCCGGTCCCCCGACACGATGAATTATTATTATAATGAACACACATCCTTGATCTGTAATGATAATAGCCCCCAACTTTCTCATCAATCAACTGAAAATGGCAATACAGTACTATGTACTGTAGTTGCATTAACATTATTTGGTCAATACAAAGCCACATACAAATAGTGATGACTTTCACTTTGGCAAAAATGTAAAAGGGTAATAGATTTGATACAGTTTTGTTAAAACTGCTTCAACCCAAATTCATGAAAGTCAGAAATGATAATTAAAAAAAAAAAAAAGTATGTAAAGTTCTCAAGCAAAGGTACCTCACCTAATGACATACGGTGGTAAGGCCGACCAAGAGTTGTTGCAATCGACTTTGCAATACTAGTTTTCCCAACTCCAGGTGGACCCACAAAGCATAAAATTGGTCCTTTTAGATCACCTCGGAGTTGTCTGACTGCTAGATATTCCAACACTCTACGCTTCACCTGGAAAATGTTATTTTATTGTCTTTTTATTTGTTAAATGAAAATATCCCTCGCCCGAAAAATTTATGAAATAAACGTGTTTTTACAAGAGCCGAATCTTGATGCTTTTTCCATGCTGAAATCGGAGATAAATGAAGACAGTACAGCACAAAAATAACCTTGTATAAATCAAGACGCCTTTACTTTACACCTTGAGGTTAAAAAGTTGAGTACTGTACATAAAAAGCTTGGCTTGGTAAATGTGCTTGGGATGTGTAAATACATCCCAAGCTTCACAAGGCAATTTTGTTCCTTAATGCTATTTTGTATTGTGCATTTACAATTTCTATATCTGTTAGCTTACCTTCAAACTATGATACGGTGTCGACCATTTCAGAACAAACTACAACTGAAGTGCACACAAAACTTTAGTCACCTAAAAATTTTGTGTAAAACATATCTCGACATGCCAGATCAACTGTAAAGTCATTCATTTTTATTTACATATATTATAAATACCATTCTTAACCCTTTACCATTCAATACAATCACCAAATAATTTATTATTAGATTCTACAACCCTTTTTTGTAGCTTCTAGAATTACAAAAACTTCTGCAAACTAATATGAACCTTAAAAACTAATTCTAGCATGAATTTATAGTAATTGACAGAGCCTATGAATTTCAAGGAGCATAATATAAAATAAAATAACATAAATGCAAGCCATTAATTTAGGAGTTGTACATCAGCAGATTCAGGGGCTGGCCTGGATCGAATGCACTGTGACCACAACACGTGATACATGCAGACTGTTGAAGTGGTTAACTCTAAAATGGAAACTGGAAAAATTCATCATAGCCAAATGACGAGAGGGATGTAAGAGTGCACAAGCTATGCGCTGCATGTTGCTGCTTCTGCCACTATGAGCAATGGCCGACAGTTTTTATCCACAGCACACAGTGTGGATGTTGGGAACACCACACACAGTGTGTTTCCCACTATTCACACTGTCAGGCTCTGGGTATTTGACCAATTTAAGCATCATATTACACCCTATACTGTATATAGGAAGTATAGGATAGCTGTGTGTGTGTGTGGTTTAACACAAGATATAATTTTAATATGCTGTACTTCATTCTTAAGTACTTTACAATGATTTTACTACAATTTATTACAATTCATGGCAAATATAATTTATTCAATTAATTACATTTTTTAATTTTCCTTTAAATATTACAGCAATCAATAGCAAGACCTTTGTGAGTAAATAAACCAAAGCAGAGGTTGGCTCTTTGTACCTTTTGTAGGCCATAGTGATCAGCATCCAAGTCTGCTCGGGCCTTGCGGATGTTGCAGGTCTCTCTCACAGAAGTGGACCAAGGAAGCTCAACAATCAGATCAAGGTAATTACGGGTCATGGAATACTCTGGCATGTGTGGTGCCATGCGTTTCAGACGACCAAGTTCCTTCATTGATGCCTGCACAAAGTTAAGCTTATTATTGTAAGTATAAGCAGAAATAAATGATTCAAGTGCTATGCACTTAAAATCAGTAAAATTTTTTATATATATACAGGTAATATAAATATTACTATTAAACGTACTCAAGCATTTACTGCATCACTACAGGCAATGACAGGTCAAATAATATAACCAAAACAGACCAATGAGTACTAAAAAAAAAATGCAAACAAATTTTCAACTAACTTTTCACCACCTTTGTCTGAATAATGTATTACAAAATAAAGTACATTATAATTCCTTTTGTTAAATTATTTCATATCCAGAACATAGGTTACATTAAAATACTATGCAATCATTACCTTGCGAGCTTCCTCTGGCATGTTTGCAGCATTAATCTTGGCTGCCAATTCATTCACTTCATTCTCACCGTCGTCCAAAGAGTCTGGGTCAGGAGACAAGTTTCGACCGCCACGGCTGATGTGCACGATCTGATTAGCCTTGTTACCCCCTTCCTCACCCCCAGCCTCACGCACATCCTGTTATCAAGTTGCTCATCATCATGAGCCACATACTTCATGCTACAAATATAAATGTCTGTCCAGATATAAGTGGTCTCTGACTGAATACATTACTGTATTTCTAATTTAAATCACACTATGTATAGTTGTCAACCAAAGACAACAGGGCAGGAAATATACTCAGAAAAGTACTCAAAAGCTATACAAGATGACTTATATTGGATGAACAATGCTGAAATGGCCAATTCAATTCAAATAATTCAAATTCAGAGGGCATAATTATCATATATATATGGGATTTAAAGGAGGGAGAGGCAGGGATTAAAAAAAAAGAAAAGAAAATATATGTACACACCTTAAGTCTCTGAATATGCCTCAGGAGAAGTGGTAGGGTAACCCTTATTCTTGTTGCAACATCAACTGCATCAAGAACTTTTAATTTTTCTGGCAGAGTGGCCCTGACCAGTGCTGCAACCACGTCTGCCAACTGACGACTAGGTACTCGCTCTACCAAGTACTATTATACAAATTTGGATGAATTATTATATTTTGTTGGCATCATACACTGTTTACAACACATTGGTGGTACATGAATGTTATAGCACAGTCATGTACCACCACATGTTGTTGTTACATTGTGTGTAAGTTTGGATAATACGAACAGCGAAAAAAGTGTTTAAATAATCACATGGAAAACCCCACTTTCAGGCTTCGTAGAGGTTGGTAGGGTTCAGAATAGGAGTGGATCCTTAAGAGGAGAGGAGGAGGGGGCAGTGAGGTCAACCTCAACTGGCCTATGACAGTCCCATACCACCCTTGTGTAATCTTGAAAAGTTGGCAAGAGTAGCCCCAAGCACCGGGTTTTCCATCTTTGGACAAACCAATATTTTCTTTATATGTACAGGATACAAACATTGAAACAAACATGAGGATTTGGAACATGCCATCTACTGTCATACTGATAAATATCTGTCCTGACAAGACATATCTATCAGTAGTACAATCTGTAGCTGAAAGATCAGCACTTACTAAAGACATTGAGAATTTCAAGGCCAATTTATGGCGAGTGCTGAAGCTTAACAGATGGCATGACAGACGTAATACTACATTTAATTTCCTTTAGGTTATTAGTCTATGCTACAAAAAATTGAACAAATTATCATCATTTAATATTTTTTCAAAGTATTATTTATAAGCAAACAAAATCACTGTTTATATATAATTTTTCAGTCTGAATGGGCTGAAACATGTACTGTATTATACAATTTTTAATGATGACAACACAAATTTAAGTCACAAAAGGGGATTTTTTTTTTTTGTCAATTCAATGTTAAAATATTTCACGTAACTAGAATCTGGTCTGGAACAATATGATCTGGATTTTCAAGGGCATCACATATCATACCTTCAGTTTAGCAACGGCTGGCACAGACACACCTAGCAGATCAATGAGTATCTGAGCAGCATTCTTGAACTCTGAAGCCAGATCTGCAAGCTTTGCTTCATCTGGAGTTAAGAAAGAGCTTTTATAAGAGAAGACACCTTTCCATACCGTGACAAATTAGACCAATACTACATAATACAATGTTTATGTCTTCACAGCACATACATTTCTTTCAGGGAATGACTGTTTTGAAGGGGTAGCCTCTGGTGGATGCTTCCCCCCCACCACAAACTGATGTAAATGACAATGATCAATAGTCCGTCTTGCGAGAAAAGGGTCCCAGTAGTACAGTCGGGTTCATTCTCGAAGCACAATCAAGAATTCCAGGTTCGAATCCTAAGCGGGACAGACATGGTTGGGCACATTTTCTTTCACCTAATGCCGCTGTTCACCTAGCAGTAAGTAGGGACTCGGAAGTTAATCAGCTTGTTGTGGAGTTGCATCCTGAGCAGTGTCAGTAATTTGACATTGGAGGGGGGGGGGGGGACCTCGATATAAGCCTAACGTATATGAATACACCGACTTCCTGCCCCCAGACACAATGAATTATAACTTATAAAACTTTTGGCCTTACAATATTCAACTAAAGCTGCAGTGAAAAACATAAAATGTGCCATATATGAGCATTTATTATTTCATAAAAATGTTTCAATATAACTTACCTTCATCATTTATATCTTTGATGTCATCTAACTGTGTCACACTTGCAACTGGATATGGATGCTCCTGAATGATGGACTCTAATCTGAAGCGGCAAAGTCCAGTCACCAGAAGTGAGTATGTTGGTCGTGGCCAGTTGGTACCTGTCACTTGAACTACTACTCCAGCTGTTCCAATTTCATGTAAAGCATTCACCTTCCCTTCCTACAAGAAGGAATATTTATAAAACTATATTATATTATAATACATTATATATTTATATTATATATTTATATTATATATTATATTATATTATATATATTATAACTATATTATATATTATAAATTATATTTATATGATGAAAATAATGTAGGTTTCAAATAAATATATAAGTACACAACTCCCTCTCTGTTCCACTCGCAACATTTACTGAATTAAGTAAACACACATAAACCTACCATGGTTTATACAGTACAGTATTGACAAGGGTCATTTAAAATATTGAAAAAGTTAAAAAAAAAAAATAAAAAAAATTAAGCATTGAATGTAATGAAGCGCCATTTTCTGGGTTTACGCTTCAGTGTTGGTTTTCAAAAAACCAACACTGGAGCAGTCCCAGACGAACAGGAGAAGGGCAGAACGCCCTAGAAGAATAAAACAAATGGCAACGGGAGGATAAAATTAATGTTTACTAATTTAAGTCAACCTACAACAAATAGAAGGCAATTAAGCATGTAATAAAACTCACCTTGTCTGGCTCTTTGGTGACAATTCCGATGACAGTACTGGCTAGCCTACTACCAGATGTCAAACGAGATCGCACAAGGTTAATGCTGTCGAGAAACCATACAAGATGTCGGTGTAAATTCCTTACAACATGCTATTTAAATAAATTAATTCTTTATTAAAGTTACTGGAATTCTAAGAAACTTGGATAATACATCGTACTTAATCTCAACACTTGTTAGAGACCATTATTATAAAAAAAAAATATTTAGAAGTTCCAATAGTTCCATTATTCTACTGTATTTTTATTGGCTTAACACACACCAGTTAATTAATGATTAAGAAGTAGGACTAAGAAACTAGATCTCATTCCCCATAAAGCATAGACGAGCCCATATATAGAGAAGAGTACAATCTTTTTGATGAAATAATTTGACATTGTACACCGCTAGCCTGTACAGCCCCAACCTGACAGCCCATACCTTCTTAAGAACCTAAAAGTGATCAAGACAGTTCCAGAGATAAGGGAACCAAAGTTACCAGGATAGGCTGAACAAAAAATATAACAAAACTATAGACACAAGGACAAACAGGGAACAGACAGACAAGACAGACATTCAATCCCAGCAAGCACAGATGATTACACCAAACATAGGTACAGACAGATGGGAATATAGATATAATTGAATATCGAGATAGTAGTATCACACCTTGTATGCATGTACTTTACCTGAATAAACATTTGAATTTTGAATTTGAATTTTTTGAAAGTTGAATGCTTTAAGAAATATTAGCAATTATAGACACCCCTGTGCCATTTTCATAGTCTTTCATGGAGTAAAGTGTGACATATAGCATGTGATTAATGTAGAGTCTTTAATCTCAAAATATAATTTCTTAGATCCATATAATTGTTTCAGAGCCTTTTAATAATACATTTAATTTTTGCAATTTATAGGCAATTCAAAATGACAGCACAAGCTACAGCTCTCTTCTACAAGCTAGAATGATATATGCATAGAAATGGATGTACTGTGCATATTTTATTAGACCTACTGTATATTGTACACAATATGAAAAACACACCAAATATCTACATATAAATACACATAACAGGAACTTATTGCATGTTTTGCACAAACTATTTGCTTATTTAAAAATTAATTTTTTGGGGGTCACTTATTACAAACATACCAGATTATTTTATTTAATGCACTATAGTACAATATAGTATAGGCAATCAAAACATAACATCTTTACAATACAGTACTATGGTTCAATATACAGTATTGTACTACTGTATATTTTATTTGTATTTTCTTTCAGTAGGCCTACAGAATATTTACTGTGGCAATTCCAGGTTTTTAACTTGTATAAATACTGCATTACTTAGTAGATTAAGAGAGTACAAGGAATAATCCTTTAACAAATTAGCAAGAGCAAAATTGGGCACAAGAGTGTGCACATGTCTACACATAGAGCTAACTAAATACACTAGTGCTGGTCAATGAGGCGAGGCAATTCAGCGAGTGAACCTGTTTTCCTTTTGGGCCTTGCCTGTCAGGTGCTGGAGCCTTGCTAATCACCAATACTGTACTTTAGTTACACATCATTATGAACATAAGCCTTATAAATTTTGTACTGTACAGTACTATCAAGTACCTACAGCATACACATTTATATAGTGTAAAGAGAAATATTCATCTTTCAGAAACATGCTGATGTGGAAAATAATCAGTGATTTTTTGGATGTTTTACAACTTACAAGAAAGATGTCTTATGAGAATTGCTGCAGGCGAATTAAATTAAGAACAAATATTCCCAAGTACTGTAAACACTCCTAAGTAAAGAAATATTTTGAGCCATACCCTTCACCAGCTTCCTACCATTCACCCCCCCCCCCCCTCTCCCCAACCCTTTACAGCCCCTTCTTTAGATTATCTCGAGCTGATTTCATGGCTTTAGTGTCCCCGCGGCCCGGTCCTCGACTAGGCCTCCACCCCACAGGAAGCAGCCCATGACAGCTGACTAACTCCCAGGTACCTATTTACTGCTAGGTAACAGCCCAAGGGTAAAAGTTCTCCCCCCCCCCCAAACCCCCCCCCCCCTTCCCTAACCCTTCCCACACCCTCTTCCCTAACCCTTCCCACCCCCCCCCCTCTTCCCACACACCCCCCTTCCCTCATATATATGTTATACAAGATGAATCTTTTTGATAGTTGCTGAAACTGAATCCATTCTAACTACAGCTCTGTATACGAGTTATAGTCTAACTTGCTAAATGATCACAATTCAAGTGGAAGACTGTAATGATAACAGGTAGTCTACAGCCCATTGATAATTATGATAACGATAAGATGCATCCCTGGTTGCCTTCAAACAAACTTAAAATTTGCAATGCTCTTTCGAAGTTGTGCCAATACCTAGCATAGCTTACTTTTTCACTGTGGACACAGGTATCCTGATGGTGGCACCTGGCAGGAGGACACCATCAGTAACGACGAGGAGAGGCAGTTTCTTGGGGATGTTGACGCTGGGAGCCCCCATAGTGACCTCCTCCTGCTGATCTGAGCCACCACAATAACAAACTCTCCCGACCCGTGCTCCGACCTCGACTTTGGTCTCCCGAATGTTCTTTTATTTATTTATTTATTTATTTATTTATATACAAGAATGTACATTGGGTTTGTGAGAATACATAGAATGGTAATTTACAATCTTGTAAAGCCACTAGTACGCGCAGCGTTTCGGGCAGGTAACTGCCTGTTACATAGTTACCCTCTGTTACATAAGAACATAAGAACAAAGGCAACTGCAGAAGGCCTATTGGCCCATACGAGGCAGCTCCTATTTATAACCACCCAATCCCACTCATATACTTGTCCAACCCATGCTTGAAACAATCGAGGGACCCCACCTCCACAATGTTACGCGGCAATTGGTTCCACAAATCAACAACCCTGTTACTGAACCAGTATTTACCCAAGTCTTTCCTAAATCTAAACTTATCCAATTTATACCCATTGTTTCGTGTTCTGTCTTGAGTTGATACTTTTAATACCCTATTAATATCCCCTTTGTTATGTCCATTCACCCACTTGTAAACCTCTATCATGTCACCCCTAACTCTTCGCTGTTACCTTACATAATTCAATCACCTGGCATAATTATCTTGTATAATACTTATAATACCAGTAATAATAATTTTATTATTTTATTACAAAAATATACATTAAAACAAGATAAAGTGGTTAATTAGTTGTTACAGAGAATGTATATTTGATATTTTTTTATCACTTGCAACCCGGCCTCATAATAGGCTGGTTAAAGCAGTGGCCGTTCTCCCAACCCGTCCTCGACTCAAGTCCATTCCATCCACTGGTCGACCCCACAGACACATTCATAAATTTTATCGTGCTGTTCATTCAAAACAGGAATTTTCTCAAATATAAATTAATATGATAATATATCAGCATATTGTGCATATATAGGCATAGGTTAGGTTAGGTGTTTAGGTTCTGTTGGCGATTATTTATATTTGTAGTACGTGGGTGAAGCATTTACTGCGTTGTGGTTCGAACAAAAGTCGTCAGTGAAGCACTTGTTCCGGAAGTGTTCGAACGAAATCAGTTGTTAGTCGTGTGTAAAGCGTTTTTCATTCATAAACAGTGGGTTTGGCGGGTGCATGGAATCACTTTTGGGTCTTTGTATGGAGGACGGGCTGAAAATTTATGAATGCATCTGGGGAGAACGCAGCCCGTCCTCCACCGGTTTGCACACGACTCACAGCTGATTTCGTTCAAGCAGTTCCGGAACAAATGCTTCACTGACGACTTTTGTTCGAACCACAACACCAGCCCATCCTCCAAAAAAAGACCCAAAAGTGATTCCATGCACCCGCCAAACCCCCTGTTTTTGAATGAAAAACAGTTTACACACAACCCGTCCTCGACTCAAATCCATTACAAATCCATGCCCGAAACGCTTTGCGTAATAGTGGCTTTAGGCATTGTATGTACTAGCTATACCTATAAGTTAAACAATCCTTGTAAATATTTATTGTATGTATGTACCTTACCTAAATAAAATTGTATTGTATTGTATTGTACATCCAGTGGTCGACCCCACAGACGCATTCATAAATTTTTACATGCTATTCATTCGAAATGCGAATTTTCTCAAATATAAATTAATGTTATAATATATTAGCATATTGTGCATATATAAGCATAGGTTAGGTTAGGTGTTTTGGATCTGTTGGCGATAATTTGTATTTGTAGTACGTGGGTGCAGCATTTACAGCGTTGTGGTTCGAACAAAATTCGTCAGTGAAGCACTTGTTCTGGAACTATACAATACAATACAATACAATTTTATTTAGGTAAGGTACATACATACAATAAATATTTACAAGGATTGTTTAACTTATAGGTATAGCTAGTACATACAATGCCTAAAGCCACTATTACGCAAAGCGTTTCGGGCATGATTTATATTTGAACTGTTCGATCGTCAACAGTTGTGAGTCGTGTGTAAACCGTTTTTCATTCATAAACAGTTGAGGGGGTTTGGCGGGTGCATGGAATCACTTTTGGCTCTTTGTTTGGAGGACGGGCTGGGATGTAATGAATTTGAGTCGAGGACGGGTTGCTTTAGCAGTTCCCGTGGTGTAGTTGGTAAGACACCCGCCTGGCGTTTCGCGAGCACTTTGTCCTCGGTTCGTATTCTGCCGGGGAGGATTTACTGGACGTCAAATCCTTAACCAGAGACTGCACAAGGTGGGGGCGCACAATTTATTATTAACACGCTTAGATATTAGCAAGCTGGATATTAGTGACAATCCAGTTGAATTGTCACTAATATCCACTAAACAATCCAACAATTATAGTTGGAGTTTTAAATTCTTTCTTTATATACTTGAAATATGCAAATTAGTGAAAACGGCTATTGGTCATATTTTTCCCAAATCCCCCTGCAGTGTTCAAAATACGATGCCTATCGGATTTTTTTTTCAGGGATATTCCTGCACGGGCCCTAAGCCTCTGGCTGACCCACTAAGTGTTGCTTGTTTCTGTTTTACTTGGGCGTCATAAATGAGTATTTATGATTCGTATGGTCGCTTCAGTAAGATTTTGTCCCATGTGTTTAACAACTTCTGATCTGTTGAATCCAAGTCTCCGTGAATCCAAGTTGAATGCAGTCTCCGTGGTGTAGTGGTAAGACACTCGCCTGGCGTTCCGCGAGCGCTATGTCATGGGTTCGTATCCTGGCCGGGGAGGATTTACTGGGCGCAATTCCTTAACTGTAGCCTCTGTTTAACGCAACAGTAAAATGTGTACTTGGATGAAAAAACGATTCTTCGCGGCAGGGGATCGTATTCCAGGTACCATAGGATTAAGGACTTGCCCGAAACGCTACGCGTACTAGTGGCTGTACAAGAATGTAATAACTCTTGTATATATCTCAAAAAAAAAAAAAGTTTAAATCTTAATGGGTTTGTAACTGGGCACTGTGTTAGATAATGTTCCGGTAGTCTATCGGGCATTTCTCCACAGTGCTGACATTTCCTCTCATCTTCCGGAACCTGTAAGCCTATTTCCCATGCACATGGGTATCCATGCCTGATGCGATGTAAGTGTACTTCTGTTGTTCTACTGTTCCCTTTCATTAAACTAAGTGGTTCGTAGATGGTTGAATTCTTGTACCAACCCGCAGATCCTGATGTTGCAATTGCTGTGCTGTGGTCACTGTACATCTTTTGCATTGGTCTGTTTCTAATTACTTTCTTATTCTGTGATAGACTGTGGTAATGACTCTTGAGTTTTATTTTTTAAATTAAATATTTAATATTCAATAATTTTAATATTTTACATTTGATATTGTTGGGTATTAGGTCCACTACCGCTCACAGGAAAGCGTTTAATAAATTAACTCAAGTAAACTGAATATTAAACGTTGCATAGAGGTGGACTGACAGGGAGCGTTAACACAAGTTACCTGCGAGTATGAGAATATTTACGTTTTCTATAAATCAGGGAGAAGGGAGTCAGATAGGTCTAACCTTGTTAGTTTACCTCTCAAAATGTTTGGCAATATGTTTATTTGTGATGTGTGTCTATGTATATATTAACACGTTGTACTGAATGGGGTGAGAATAGCTTGAGCTACCTCATCCCTTTGTGTGTATTTTACCTCAATAAACTTATTTCAATTTCAATTCAATTTCAATTTCAACCTTGTTAGTTCTAACTAATAAATGTTCAAATTCAAAATTCAAAATGTTTATTCAGGTAAAAGTACATAAATAGAAGATGAGTTACAAACATAATGCTGGATTTTTATATAGAGCTAGTACATACAATACTTAAAGCCACTAATACGCACAGCGTTTCGGGCAAGGTGTGGGGGAAAAAACTCACTTAGACTAAAGCTTAATACTAATTGAGATTAAAGTATAAATTGTGTTGAAAACTGAAAAAATAAGGGGGGAGGGACATGGCAGAAATCAGCAATTATAGAAGTTGGTCAACAAACAGTATTGTTTGAAAATAGCAAGACATGGGTTGATATTTAGGGGTTAAGGTAGGTTACATGGAGTTTATTAGGTAGTACTTAGTTCTACTCTTAAACTGGTTGGTAGAGGTACAGCCTTTGACATGATTGGGAAGGTTATATCCACATTCTGGGTCCCTTGATTTGTAGAGCATTTCTAGTTTGGTTAAAGCGCACTCTTGGAATATCAAATAGGTAAATTTACAGTCACCGTGGTGTAGTGGTAAGACACTCGCCTGGCATTCTGCGAGCGCTTTGTCATGGGTTCGTATCCTGGCCGGGGAGGATTTACTGGGCGCAAATCCTTAACTGTAGCCTCTGTTTAACGCAACAGTAAAATGTGTACTTGGTTGTAACAACGATTCTTCGCGGCGGGGATCGTATTCCAGGGACCTGCCCGAAACGCTACGCGTACTAGTGGCTGTACAAGAATGTAACAACTCTTCTATATATCTTAAAAAAAAAAAAAAGGTATTTGTTTTTGGTGTGGTGCCCATGAGTTCTGTTACAACTTTCTAGGAAGCGTTTACAGTCAGGAGTGGCATTACAGTTCAATTTTAAATATATAGAGTGCACTTGAGAGGATGTGCACTGACTTAATATCTAACATATTCAAAGATTTAAGTAAGGGTACCGAGTGCTGTCTGGGGCCAGAGTTTGATATTGTTCTAATAGCAGCTTTGTGTTGAGTGATTAGAGGACATAAATGATTTTGTGTAGTAGAACCCCAAGCACAAATACTATAGCTGAGATAAAGATAGGTGAGAGAGTAATAGAGCGTCACCACGGCAGGGCGAGGTACATAATATCTGTTTTTAGAAAGAATGCCAACAGTTTTAGAAACTTTTTTGCTATATTTAGAATATGTCCCTGGAAATTTAGCTTGTTATCGATGAATTTACCATCTACTTTGTTACTAATTTGGATATTGTTTATTCTTAGATTAATTTGATCTGAGGATTTATTATGAAACAAAATATAGAAAGTTTTGTGAATGTTAAGGGTGAGTTTGTTAGCAGTTAGCCAAAGATGGACTTTATTTAGTTCAGTATCC